GGTTCGAATCATACTAATATTAGAGACGCGAATGTTTAGATGAATGTTTGTTTGAAAGTATATTCCTAACGGCTGCATGGATCTTGACGAAATTTGGTATAGATGTAGTACATAGTCTGGAAGAACACATAGGCTATTAAGATCTCGTTATGGTGAAGGAAAACATCGTGTGAAGTAAAGTCAGTGTGAAGTCTTGGACTGGGTCAGCATTCACTATCACATAGTCTCACTTAGGGTAGACTCTGAGACCCTCAGTGGAGACTTATAGTGAGGTGATGAGGTATCTTTGAATGCTAAGGCGTTTACAAACAAGTTTCTAAAGTTACTTTAATGTTTTTGCAGTTAACTTTACCATTAAACTGTGTAATTTCATCGTTTATGGTCTCGTCTCTCTTGTTAACTTAGGGTAGGCTTTGACCCCCTCAGTGGGGACGTATGGCTGATGATGAATTTCTTTTTTCATTTATTCTATTATCGTATGATAAGTCAGGTATTCTAAACCTTATAGGCTTAGAAATACGTTACGTAATGACCTTATGATCTCAACGAGTTTTCAAAGATATTTAAATTTCAAATGGAAACAAACTTTCATCGTATAGTCGAATCGAATTTGTTATTCGGTAACACGATATATGAGACTTGAATTTATTTATTCAAAACACTTTGACACAAGAAAACGTGAAAACACATCTGGTTTTAAGATGTCCAAATAGCGAAACGTTCCATAGACATCCGCAATTGCAGACCTTTAATCAACGGAGGAGAGGACCTAAAGAAAGAGAATGTTTCCCCTTGCTATTGTGTCACCTACATCAAATCCATTTTATTATCCTTTGTAAGGAAAGGAAAGAGATAGAGGATAAGCTTTAGGTGGCATGATGGCTGGCATTTTCGCGTAACTTTTTACCTCGCACAGCCGCGTTGTGGAAAACCCTGTCCTCAGCGGTATTTCCAAATAGTTACGACTTAGGGGCCTTCAAGAAAAGAGCGTACACCTTCCTTAAAGTCCGCCAACGCATCTGCGGTTCCTCCGGCGTTGCGGATGTCCATGGGTGTCGGATCAAAAAAAATTAGGCGATTCGGTGCTCGTTCCTATAAAAAAGGTTTCCCATACGCACACTCATCAGATTACGCGTTAAAGCGTAATAATAAGATTTGTTTTTTTGAAAGCATCGTACGATTACTAATGACTAATGTTTATACATCGGAGCATCGGTGGCTCAGCGGTCAAGCACTTGATTTGCGATCTGCAGGTCTTGGGTTCGAATCCCGCCATGTACCAATGTGTTTTTCGATTTCCTATTTACATATGTACATTTATCCGACGTTCTTACGGTGAAGGAAAACATCGTGATGATGCACATATCTGAGAAGTAATTCAATGATAGGCTCCGAGCCCCTCGGTAGGGACTTATAGTGAGCTGATAATTTTTTTAGGGTTCCGTACCTCATAGGAAAAAAACGGAACCAACCGGTTTTCCTTCACCGTAAGAACGTCAGATAAATGTACATATGTAAATCGGAAATGGAAAAACACATTGGTACATAGCGGGATTCGAACCCAGGACCTGCAGATTGCAACTCAAGTACTGAAACCCCTGAGCCACCGACGCTCTCAGTAGCTTTTGCTAATTTAGCGAAATAATCAGCCTACTACGTTAGCTTATAGACAGGCAAAGTTGTAATATATTGACGAATTCCTAACTGATTCTTTATATTTCCAAATAAACATTCATTCCAGTTATATAAATAAATATCGTAAACGTAAATATTTATAATAAACAAATAATATATCAATATGATTTATAAAACAATGGTTTAGTTAAGATAAACATTTTACATTTGTTTGAAATATATCATCGATTTATGGGCACTTACTTTCGTATGTTTTTAGGATGGTTAGCTGTTTTTAATATATCTTACTAATATAAATGCGAATGTTTAGATGTATGATAGTAGGTATGGAACAGTGGTAGAGTCCGCTTAAACATCTTCGCCCGGTGAAATACCACGACCACACAGAAGACAAGCGTCAAGTGGAAGCTATTCCGCGTTTCGTCTGATGAGTGTGCGTCCCGTTGGCCTAATTTAGTCCTCTTTCCCATCCCACCCTTTTTCTTATAAAGAAAGGATGGGAATTGGAAGTGGACTTTCCGGATGAGAGGATGCATGGAAAGGGAAAATATTTTCTTTCTGTGCATCCTCTTCTCCGTCGATTAAAGGTAGGCAACGTATATGCAATTGCGTATGTCTATGGGCAACGGTCACTTCGCTATTTCAGCGATTTCCGGTGGCCGCTCGCTCGTTTGCCACCTTATGATATAAAAAAAGGCTACTTATTAAATCTTTTAAAACGCACGGAGTCGCGGGCGATAGCTAGTTATATGTTGTTAATGTTTCTCAAAATGATTCTCTGATTGTTTGTAAAATAAGTATAAAGGCGTGACTTCAAGTCACGAATTATTAAGCTTTACTATAAAGAATTAAATTCGCTATCCATATAGAATTTATTTTCATAAACTTACTTTTCTGAGACGAAACTTTCAAAACATATCGCTATCTCTGTTTCGTCAAAGATAACGACAGAGATGACGATATGTTTTAAATATTGCATAAACCAAAGGTTATCGGATTAAAATATATAATATTCTAATCATTAGTTGGCACGTCGAATAGAGAAATATACTTTTTACACACGTGTCAACTCAAATACTAAATCCGGTTAAGTGTGAAAGTCATTTTATGACAACCTTTGACATGCCACAAGATGTTACGTGGATTATTTATGTTATATTATAATTAATTTATTTATTTATAACTGCCTATAGTCGGATAGTTACGGAGTGCCTGAATAGGCTATGTGTTCTGCCAGATTATGTTCTACATCTATGCCAAATTTCATCAAGATCCATGCAGCCGTTCTGGAGATACCTTCTAACAAACATCCACCTATTCTTACATTTGCATTTATAATATGTACTAGCTAATGCCCGCGAATCTGTCTGCGTGGAATTAAAATAAAACGCTATTAGTGGGCTATGTGTTCTTCCATACTATGTTATACCTTTCAACGAGATCCATGCAGCCGTTCCGAAGATATCTTTAAACAAATATCCATACATCCAAATATTCGCATTTATAATATTAGTAAAACTAGAGTGATAAAAGGACTCAAAGACTTTACCTTTCTATGTGGGGCTCCATTTTCCCCGATACAAAGTCTTCTCGTCTCTGTCCAGGACTTGGAGCTACCTTAGAAATTCTTGAACGTCACCTCGCCTAGTTTTTGACAACTTGTTCGTCTGAATCCATTCTTAAGTAAAGTAAGAGACTGATTTTCTGATTTTAAATATTAGGAGTTCAAAAAAGACTAATCGTTGCAAGAATCCAGTTTCTTAAGAACTATTTGTTAGGTTTACAAAGTTTATTTGTATAATATATTGATACATGGATATCATAGTCGTCCCATCACTAGCACGCAGACGTTCTAAAGGTCATGAACGTAATGTAAAGGTCGTTCTATGGTGCAACCGAGAATCTGTGCCCAATTCTATTGAAAGGTATGTTACATCTATTGTTTGTATTACAATATGCATTTAAAGTTGGTTTCTGAGTACAAAATCGTATAAAAATATCGTCATCTCCATCATTATGTTTGACAAAGCAGAGATAACATGATTTAAAGTGGGCTTTTTGTCTCGGAAATCCACAGTTAAATTTAGTAATACATAATACGAAATTTTAATAAATCGCCCGCGTGGTATTAAAAACGACTTAATTAGTAGTCTATGTGCTCTTCCAGACTATGTTCTATATGTATGCCAAATTTTAGCGAGAACCATGCAACCGTTCTGGAGATACCTTCTAAAACACATTCATCTAAACATTTGCATTTGTAAAATTACTAGCTGTCGCCCGCGACTTCGTTCGCGCGGTGTTAAAAAAACCTTAATAAGTAGCCTATGTGTTCTTCAAGACTATGTACTACATTTATACCAAATTTCAGCGAGATCCATGCAGCTGTTCTGCAGATACCTTCTAACATCCATCTAAACATTCGCATTTATAATATTAGTAAGATTCAACTAAACAGCGTCGGTGGCTCAGGGGTTTAAGTACTTGACTTGTAATATGCAGGTCCTGGGTTCGAATCCCGCCATGTACCAATGTGTTATTCGATTTTAGATTTACATATGCACATATATCCGACGTTACGTTGAAGGAAAACATCGTGATGCTGCACATATCTGAGAAAGTCAAAGATATGTGTGAAATCAACCCGCACTTGGCCTAGTCACCCTAACTTAGAGTAGGCTCCGAGCCCCTCAATGGGGACGTATAGTGAGCTGATGATGATGACGATTGAATATTGTTTTATTTAATATTAAACAATTTTCTTTTAACTTGAAATTCTAATTATTAGAATGGTTATAATCATGTTAAAACATGTTCCCAATCTTTCATATATTGACCACGTTTTTTCTTAGCTATTTTTATGATCCTTTTTACTAATGGATCGTTTTTCAAAGCATCTCTTATATCTGATTCATCTAATAACGTAACCATAGATATACTGTTATCCGTAACTGTTGTTGCTTCAGTAGTCTTAATGATATTAGCTTTATTATTTATAGTTTCTAGAATCTCATCAAATTCACTTTTACCTTGTCTTCCTGCGGTTTTTTCCTCTTTCAAATAGTCCACGAAATTCTCAACTACGTGCAATTGTTTTGCTATAACATTGAATAAATCTTTATAGTTTTCTTTTTTACTTTCTATACTACTAAATTCATTTGTATGCAAACAATCTTCACATGTGTCATTTAAAATTGGTAGCGTTACTAATGTTTCACGTCGTTTCATTTTGAAATTACCTAATGATTTCTTTGATTTGTTATCAGGTTTTTTTATTGTATCCATTTTGTTTATCATATCTCTTTCCAATTCTAATTTCATATTACGTAATTGTTTTAGTTCTGTTGATATTAGTTGCCTTTTTGTATCTGTTGAATCTGTTTCACTTCCTACTTCGTTACCTGTTAAGTCGTCTGAAATAAAAGATAAATAAAAACTCTATCTTCACCTATGGGTAGTGAACTGATGTCCAAAGTATGTCCAAGGTGTGGTCTAATTTTAGTCCTCTTTCCAAGGGATAGGAAGGTAAAGTGATTTTAACAAAGGAGATGCATTGGAAGGGAATATTTTAAAAGCGGTAGAGCCTCCAGGAATTGGCCTCGCCCAGTGCAATACCACGACCATACAGAAGATATAAGTGAAGTAGAAGCAATTCCGTGTTTGATCTGATGAGTTTGCCTTCCACCTTCTTTCCTATAAGGAAAGGATGGGAAGGTTAAGTGGATTATCCGGATGAAAGGATGCATAGGAAAGAAAAATATTTTATTTCTATGCATCCCCCATCGATTAATGGTTAGGTACGCATCTGCAATTATGGATGTCTATGGGCAAAGTTTGTTTTGATATTTTAGCGATTTAAAGTTGCCATATCCTCGTTACTTTGAACTAATAGAAATTAATTACCAAAAGGAGCTGATAATGAGTCGTTTTCTTCTTCCAACCAATCACTAGTTCCATCTCTGTCTTTCAAATAAGCTTTATTGTGATTATTGATTGCGTTAACAAGTTTTTGTATTCCGACCCATTCGTTCACAACTTCGGATGTTCCTGGAAAGTTACTGAAGGATACAATCATGTAAAATAGATTAACTAAAAGATTTGAAACCTTCTTGTTCTTGTTTGTTCTATTGATTTAAAATGTCCGTTGATGTACCACTGTTATAGCTATCTATAAAAAGCCTACGTGTTCTTCCAGACTATGTTTTTATGCAAGATTTAAGCGAGATCCATGCAGCCGTTCTGGAGATATCTTTTAACAAACATACATCTAAATATTCGCATTTATAATACATATTAGTAAGATGCTTAGTAAAAGCTAAATTTGAATGTTTACATGTATGTTTGTTAGAAGGTATCTCCAGTACGGCTGCATGGATCTCGATGAAATTTGGCATAGATGTAGAACATAGTCTGGAAGAACACATAGGCATTAAGTTTTTTAAATAACTCGCATACGGAGTCGTGGCCAACAGCTATAAATATCATAAATAGAAAACAATGATTTTTTTATATCATAAGGTGGCAAACGAGCGAGCGGTCACCTGAAATCGCTGATATAGCGAAGTGACCGTTGCCCATAGACATACGCAATTACATATGCGTTGCCTACCTTTAATCGACGGAGGAGAGGATGCACAGAAAGATAATATTTCTATGCATGCTCTCATCCGGAAAGTCCACTTACACTTCCCATCCTTTCCTTATAAGAAAAAGTTAGGGAAGGTAAAGAGGACTAAATTAGGCCTCAAGGACGCACACTCATCAGACTGTACGCGGAATTGCTTCCACTTGACGTCTGTCTTCTGTGTGGTCGTGGTATTTCACCGGGCGAGCCGGGCCGATTCGTGCGAAGATGTTAAAGCTCTACCACTGTTAGTATTATGAAATCTTAAAAAATACTAGAGCTGAAGATATTAAAAATAAAATAATAATACTTACGACACACTACAAGCGAAGATATAAAAAAAACAAAGGCTTTCCTCGACATTTTTATTGTATTTTTATTTACAATTGAAATTGATTTTGTTTTATATAATTTCGATATAAATATTATTATGTATAATATAGTTCAGTGGTTAAAGTTTTTAATTCGATGTATTCCGAGTTCGAAACTAAATTAAAAACTATCTTACTAATATTATAAATGCGAATGTTTTGATGTTTGTCAGAAGATATCTGCAGTACGACTGCATGGATCTCGCTGTAATTTGTCATAGATGTAGAACATAGTCTGGAGGAACACATAGACTACTTATTAAGTCTATGATATTAAATAAAATATTAAAAACGAATAATTAACTTAAATATATTATTAAAAGGAGTTCCTTTAGGTAAGGTTCCGAAGATACTGGCAGCGTTCCCCCTTTGAATAGCTATACTAATTCTTTGTCAGAGGTTGCTGCCAGCTCTTCGGTCTCCTGTGATGTCGATTTACTTTTTTGATGTTTCCTTAAAAAGCCTTAAAGTGATAGCGCTTATTAAGTTACATAATACTCATTAAGTTTTTTTTTAATCCCGCGGGGATGGAGTCACGAGCTACAGCTAGTAATAGTATAAATGCGAATGTTTAGATGAATGTTTGTTTGAAGGTATCTCCAGAACGGTTGCATGGATCTCGATAAAATTTGTCATACATATAAAACATAGTCTTTTCATGTTTGTTTTTTTAATTCCGCGCGGACGGAGTCGTGGGCGAAAAATGTTTAAATTTTTTGCGTATTGCTACTTATCATGTTTATATTAACAGTTTTGTTGTATGAAATCAGGAAGTTTTTTTTTCATTAATAAAATCAAATAAGTCACGTTTATTAAATTATATTGGTAGATATAAAAACGTAATTGATTTTTTAAATGCAAGTTATTGTGTGTTAATATTTGGCCTTTTATAATTAAGACTTCCTTGATCGCGACTCCGTCCGCGCGGAAAAAAAAAACATAATAAGTAATCTATGTGTTCTTCCAGACTATGTTCTATATGTATGACAAATTTCATCGTAATCCGTCAAGCGTCAATAGCCTAATGGTTAAGGGTACGGATTTCCGACCACGAGGTCGGGGTTTCGAATCCCGTAATTCTACTATTGTCGTAAACCATATCCTAACACAAGCATACAGCTTAGTTGGAATGATTAAAGAAATATTAGTAAATTTACAAAAAAAATCTGCTGATATTTAAAAAAAAACCATCGGGCACAACCACTGTTATTTATCAAAAAAAAATGTTTAATGTTAAAAATCAATTGCTGTTCGTTAGTCTCGCTAAAACTCGAGAACGGCTTAACGGATTTATCTTATCTTGGTCTCGAAATGATCGTGAAAGTCTAGGGAAGATTTAAAATGTGAGAAAAATTCGAATAATTGCCGGGAAAATCCTTAAGGAACGAAATATTTAAGATTCTTGTATTTCAGTCTCTAATCTCTTCTGTTATTTCCAGGTGGTCCGCGGGGTACATATAGAGCCAGCACACCTAGTTAAAAGAAGAAGTATAGACCAGCCACTTAGGATTAGTATATTTTATGACCACTCTGTATATAGGTGAGATATAGGATGTTTGATATATTTTGGTATTTAATGATATGTTAATTGGTTTATTTTGATATTTTTTTGGTATATTTTCAGATTAGAACCTGAGAAATTTGACATGATTAATGTAAGTGTTTAAATTATATGATTTATATCTAATATTATAAAGAAAAATAATTTATATTGATTTAATGGAACGTATAAACTCAAAGTAGTTTTTGAGTTTTTACAAACCGATTTGAAAAAAAAAATTGATGTTACAAAACTGCTTTTCTAATTTTCTTCTCATTTGACCAATAATTTTAAAACTAATCTACATATATCTAATTCTCTTTATATTTTGGTATTTAACGTATAAACTCAAAAACTACTAGACAGATTTTTTTATATCATAAGGTGGTAAAAAGAGCGAGCGGTCACCTGAAATCGCTGAAATAGCGAAGTGACCGTTGCCCATAGACATACGCAATTGCATATGCGTTGCCTACCTTTAATCGACGGAGGAGAGGATGCACAGAAAGAAAATATTTTCCCTTCCTATGCATCCTCTCAACCGGAAAGTCCACTTCCACTTCCCATCCTTTCTTTATAAGAAAAAGGGTGGGAAGGGAAAGAGGACTAGATTTCAAAATTATAATACTTTAGCTATTATTTTCTTAATTGGACGACTAACAGCATAGAATAAAAATAAATTTCATTGGGCCTATTTATTTGTAAGCAATAATAAACATTAGATTTTCAAACTTTTAAGTTTTTCCAAAATAATTAAACATTTTATTTTTATAATGTTATTATATTAATTAAAATTAACGATGTTTTTAATTATTAATCTTTTCTTTTATTTATATCTTTTCTTTTCTTTTATAGAATACAATATTACCTGAGGCGGTAAAGTTTTGGGAGCAAGCGTTGAAAGTACGAAAGACTGGTGGGCCGATAAAACTTAACAGGTAAGGTACAATGCGTTCACAATAACGTGACAACGTCCAAGCTATGACGTCACAGTTAAGCTAAAAGTTGCTTCTAGATGACTCTGACGCTCGTAATTAGGTTTATTTGTCTTAGTACATCTTACTAATATTATAAATGCGAATGTTTATGTGGATGTTTGTTAGAAGGTATCTTCAGAACTTATAGGCTACGTTTATTTTAGAAAAAAATCTTTTATTTTAGAAATATTATTATAACGTTTTATAAACTACCGCTTGACCACGATCCAAAGTATAAAGTAATAATGAGTAGTTAGCCAAATATAAAGGAATGTTGCAATATCCAATTACTTATTTCACGCGGACGAAGTCGCGGGCATACTATATAGTATTGTCTCTAACAACTCATCGAGATGTATACCATAGTTGCATTTTCAAATGAATTTTGCAAGCGTGATGTAGGATTTAAACGAACGCCATCTGTTGGCAGAGTATCGGTATTTCGTAACCGATCAGCTGGTTGCAGTTCGGGCAATAATGGTTTTTATATTTGCAACTATTCGTGCAGTAGATTAAAATAACGACAGGAATAAGACTGAAAGAGAAGAAATATGATTAGTACATATTTATTAAGTTCTAGTAAGTCCATATTAGACTGCTGATCCTTACTTCTTACTAATATCATAAATGCGAATGTTTAGATGGATGTTTATAAGAAAGTATCTCCAGAACGACTGCATGAATCTCGATGAAATTTGTCATAGATGTAGAACATAGTCTGGAAGAACACATAGATTACTAATTATATTTATTTAAGGTTCAGTACCTCAAAAGCGAAAAAACGGAACCCTTATAGGATCATTTTGTTGTCAGTCCGTCTGTCTGTCTTTATCTTAGGAATTCGTGAAGGTATCAAGCTGGAATTTAATACTGCGCGGAAGGAGTCTAGCGACAACTAGTTCTAGATATTCTAGAAGATAATACTTAAGGAGTCTTACCATAATACTAAGAAGATCATAGCCAATACGTGTGTAAATGCACCTACTTCTCTGACAACAAGAGAATGTACCCTCTGATTACAATGTGGGCATTGTAAAAGTTTCCTATCTGAACCTGGTCGTATGGTAGTTGTGGCATCTGTAACTAAATTATTGAGAACTATGTATCAGATCTTACTAAAATAAATGCGAATGTTTAGATGTATGTTAGAAGGTATCTCCAGAACAGCTGCAATGATCTCGATGGAATTTGACATCATCATTATCAGCTCACTATACGTTCCCACCGAGGGGCTCGGAGCCTACCGTAAGTTAAGGGTGATTAGGCCATAGTCAATCACGCTGGCCAAGTGCGGGTTGGTTGACTTCACACATATCTTTGAATTTCTTCTCAGATATGTGCAGGTTGCAAGGAAGGGTATTTGATGAATTAGGTGACGCATTCTCCATCTGTGCGTGTCCTTCGATGTAAGCAAGTAGGCAACGCATCTGCAATTGTGTGCATTGTGCAGCGGTCGCTTTGCCATTTTGAGTTTCTTTCTTTTTTGTTTTATAACATAAAACGAGCGAGCGGCCACCTAAAATCGGTGAAATAGCGAAGTGACCGTTGCCCATAGACATACGCAATGGCATACGCGCTGCCTACCTTTAATCGACGAAGGAGAGGATGCACAGAAATAAAATATGTTCCCTTCCCATGCACTCCCTCTCATCCGGAAAGTCCACTTCCACTTCACGGCTGTCTTCTGTGTGGTCGTGGTATTTCACCGGTCGAGCCGGGCCAATTCGTGCAAAGATGTTAAAGCGGGCTGTACCGCTGTGCAAATGGAAGCTTGTTTTCATTTACCCGTAGTAACAACTTCCGTTCTAGGTGGCGTTGATACGTTCACTCGATTACTTTGATTCACGTTGTCTATTTCAGTATACGCGGGTGGTGGTTCAGGGAACTCAGACACTGGTATTGGTCCTAAGGGAAACATGTCATCTGGTGTCTGACGACCGTAATATCCCGCTTCCTTGGACATTAGACCTGGTAGGTTAGGATTTGTGGATGTGCCGAATGTTGGTGATGTTGTATAGCCTGGAATATAACAATGATATGAATAGAAAGGTTATTAATATTTCTTGTCATAGAAATTATTTCCGTTCGCTCTTAACAAATCTACTTAACAATTTCTTCCTATTGCATTATTAATTTAGTGATCAGTATAGTTCTTAAATATTGTGTTGTGTGCAAGACAAGACATCTCTGCTAAAATATCATGCCTTAGAGACTTCGACCTCGAAAGGTAAAAAAGGAAACTCTTATGGGATCACTTTCTTGTCCGTCTGTCTGTCTGGCAAAACCCTTTTTTTAGTGTAGACTCCTCAACTATCTATTTACTATGAGAGTCCCTAAATATACTAAAAAGAGAAGTGTCTAGTAAACGATTAAATATTATTAACAGTTAGAGAGATGATGATAATGAACTCAAAGGTTGGCTTACCAGAGCTACTACCAGGTGAAGCAACGTATGATATGTTAGGTGGTACAGGTCTAGATGTTTGTTCACCTCTAGAAGGATTTCTAGAAGGTTCATCATCACTTTCATCACTCGTCACTCGCAGTTCAATTCTTCTATCTTTGAATGGATCGTAGAGAATTGTTTCCTGAAATATTGGCTGTCGTCATAAACTCGGAGGCTACGTAAGTTAGTGGTCACTAGGTCATGGTCTATGCTAGTCCAGTGTGAGTTGACTTAACATCATCTTATATGTCCCCACTGATGGGCTCGGACCCGCCATGAACCAATGTGTTTTTCAATTTCCGATTTACATATGTACATTTATCCAACATTCTTACGGTGAAGGAAAACATCGTGATGCACATATAAGAAGAAATTCAAAGATATGTGTGAAGTCAACCCGCACTTGGCCAGCGTGGTCGACTATGGCCTATTCACCCTTAACTTAGGGTAGACTCGGAGTCCCTCAGTGGGGACGTACAGTGAGCTCATGATGATTATGGGCTCGGAGCCTACTTAAGTTAGTGATCATTAGGCCATATTGCACTACTCTGGTCCAGTGTGGGTTGATTACACATACATCTTGAAATTCGAAATTTGAAAATGTTTGTGGAATTGAACCCCATAACGAGTAGATCCAGTCTTAACAATTCCAAGTTCCACGCCTTTTAAAATGTTGCTGGTTTTGATTTTCCCCTACTGTGAAATTTTTCCTTTGTCTTCTGATAAATCAAGGGTTCCTGGGCCGTTCTTAAAAATTACCTTACCTGTACAAAAGATCCTTCTCTTTGTTCATTCCTATTCCTGGGGCTCTCAACTACACTACTTCCTCCACTTTCCGGTACATCAATGTATACCACAGGATTATCTTCTGTTCTATTTCCATCTGATTCTGTAAAATCTTTAACAATTTCTTCAGTCTGGAAATGACATTCTAAAGTCAGTACACGTGTGTTTGGAGACTCCAGTCAGCTCTAAGTAAGACCAGGCCTCAGTCAATATTTCACCCATGGCCTTAACTAAGATTAGGCCGCAAGAAACAAGTCTCCCACGGCCCTAAGTAAGACCAGGCCACTGTCTACACAGCCTCCACTGCCCTTAGTAAGACCAGACCTCAGTCAACACGCACCCCACTGCACTAAGTAAAACAAGGCCTCAGTCAACACGCTCCCACTGCTTTAAGTAAGACTAGGCCTCAGTCAACACGCTCCCACTGCTCTAAGTAAGACTAGGCCTCAGTCAACAGTTACTCTTGTTTTTAAAATGATTCTTTGTTAGACTTACTCGTCTTTCATTTACATCACTGTCTCTGCTGGTTCCTGGTCGTTCATTCACTCCGCCGATAGCTCTTCGTGGTAAGTTCGTCCACCTACCAGCCGTTGTAGAGTCGATAGAAGGCACGTCTATGACTACAGGATTGACGTACGGGTAACCCTGGTAAGGACGATTTTGTGTTGCCATATTTATCTGGAATTAATTTAGAATTTTTATTTACAAATAGCAAATAGCCCGCGACACCGTCCGCGTGAAATGAAAAAAAAAACTTAATTAGTTCCCGGCGTTCGAATTTTTCTCACCTTTTATACCTTCCAAGATAAGATAAATCCGTTCAGCTGTTTTCGAGTTTTAGCGAGACTAACGAACAGCAATTGATTTTTTATATATAGAGATTATATATTTTTTTGGCACGTATGTAAGTTTGTTTTTATGTATGTGGATTGGACGAATGCATAATTCTTCTTCCCGGAGTTTTATTACATTGGTAAACGAGATGGAAAGATGTAGTAATAAAAGACATGAGCCAGGTCTCAGAAGATGTCATGGACAGAGCGAAGTGGAAGAGACGGATTGGCAAAGATGACCCCACCACCTTGTGGGATGCAAGCTAGGCACAGAGAAAGAGAGAGAGAGTATTCAGTGCCGGCGTTAGGGTAGGGCACGGGCGACCGACCAAGAAGCAGGATAAAAATGGTCTGCGAATGCATGGTAAAAAAAACGCTGTATAAATCACGTTCAGGGCCATGAAGCGCTAAAAATACTGACGCAATGTATTATACAAACTGCAGCTTTGTAAATTTATACAGCTAGATATACAAAAATTTCATGACAACAACAACAACTAGATAACAAACAACCGAGTGGCTCGGAGCCTACCCTAAGTTAAGGGTGATTAGGCCATAGTCAACCACGCTGGCCAAGTGCGGGTTGACTTCACACATTTGACTTTCTCAGATATGTGCAGCATCACGATGTTTTCCTTCACCGTAAGAACGTCGGATAAATGTACATATGTTAATCGGAAATGGAAAAACACATTGGTACATGACGGCATTCGAAACTAGGACCTGCAGATTGCAAGTCAAGTGCTTGCCACAATGCAAAATAATTATTTTTAATATTAACTACCTTTATTTGAAATTTCTGTCCATTCGTAAACCACAGACGACACTTTTAAATCATTTAAAATATAATTTCATTGCTTTTAATATAAATACGTAGTCACAGATTCACAATACATCGACACTGATGTTAACAGGATGGTATTTATCATACTTTTTCATGTTTGAAGTCTTTAGTACTGTAATAAAGCGTATCAGATATAAAATTATCTTTATGATAAGATTGTCTCCGGACATACTTATATGTTATCTACATATATGTTTATATGATAGGAAATTTGAATACGCAAAACAATCAGGAAAAATTCTTTCTTTTGTTTCATTCTTTAAATAGATGGCGCTGTTCAATTATTCAAACTTTCATGAGACATTACTAAACTGATATAAAAACGGCTAAACACTTACATATATTCGTCCGATGGCACCGACTAATTTCGAGCCCATCGGGAGCCCTTCATCAGGGTGAGTGGTACTGGTATTATTTCGCGGACGACGGGCCATGAATATACGTGAGTGTTTTGCCGTTTTTATATCAGTGTAGATGGCGTTGTTGTCAAAATTGTAAATAAACAACTGTTGCTCGCGACTCTGTCAGCGTGAAGAAACTGAATTAGTAACCTATGTGTTCCATACTGTGTTCTATATCTATGCCAAATTTTATCAAGTTCTTTCTGGAGATACATTCTATTAAACATCCATCTAAACATTCGCATTTATAAGTAATTTTAATCCTTTGGCTCGAATGGCGCGCTTTCATTACAAAGTTAAGTGTCAGAAATGAATAGTGAGGGAACATAGACGTTGACATTTTAGTAAGGCTAGTTGACATTTGTTGTGCCAGTACACCGGCACGCTGTCGGATTTTCTTCCTAACAGTAAGAAGTAAGATATCTATAATAATGTTTTTTTTTTTATATATTTTAATAAATATTTTAGTTCTCGCAGCTATTGTCATCAGGTCTCAGTAATTTGGTAAAAATTAACTTTCTGCACGCCTCTTCCGTGATGTAAAGGTTGGCAACGCATCTACAATTGCGGATCTATGGGTAGCAATTGCTCGTTTGCCACTTTATAATAAAAAACCCCTTTTTTTCGCAAACGCATCGGGACGGGGCCTTGGGCACGCTTTCGTTCTCCTCCGCGGCCAACGCTATTCAACGCCCTGGGCGGGTCGCCCAACTGCGCCCTAACCTATCGCCAACCCAGACAGGGTTCTTACTTTTGTATTCTTTGTTACAGAAAATGTCCTACCCGTCAAGTATTCATACGAGGTGGCAGATCACATTGTATAGACGCATGTAACGCTGAGACAATGTGCGGAGAGGTCAGGGTCCCGGAGTATCATCTGAATGTAAGTATCAACTCACTATCGTCACTTAGGGTCTCGGAGTCTACCCTAAGTTAGACTAGGTTAGTTTCCTCTGCATTTTCTACCGCATGTACCACGGGGAGTGCTCCAAAGAATTGTTTGGAACGATTCCTGTCGCCGAGTTCCGTCATCGGACGACACGATAGACCGCCAGATTCTATCAACATCATCTCGATGGCTGGCAATCCACAACCGTGCGGTTTGCGTAAAACTTCCTGCCTCGCACAGCAGCGTTTTGGAATGGTCTGTCCTCGGCGGTATTTCCAAACCGCTACGACTTAGGGTCCTTCAAGAAGCGAGCTTATGACTATCTCAAAGGCCGGCAACGCATCTGCGGTTCCTCTGGTATTGCTGCGTATAAATGTACATGTGTAGAGACTTGCGATTGACAGGGTGATGTTGGTAGAGTAATCCTACCCTTTTCCCTAAATAGAGTCGGTACATGTACACCTCCATACATCTCTATCAGTCGCCTTCTTACACATATCCTCTTTCACACAATACATACTTTCTTTGGTCTTCTACTTTTGTAGCCATTAAAATTGCATTATTTAAAAACGTTACTAAGCCGAATGTAATTAACGTAATTTTAAATAGCAGTTAGTTGCTAAATAATAGTCTAGACAGGGTTTGACCAAATTTTTATTAAACCCTTAGGAAATACGAGTATATTTAAAACTAACATCAGATCTTACTAATATTATAAATGCGAATGTTTAGATGTATGTTTGTTAGAAGGTATCTCCGGAACAGCTCAACGGATCATGATAAAATTTGTCATACATATAGAACATAGTCTGGAAGAACAAATAGGCTATTAATTCATTTTCATTTTAATTCTGAGCGGACGGAGTCGCGGGCGACAACTTTATAATAATTTAATGTTATTATTTGCGTTTCGAATTACGAACTGCGAGTCAATAGGCTCACGGCTCATCGACTCTTATAGTAAATCGCGATGAGCTGCTCAATGGAGTTGTTGAATCGCAACTCAATGGTCCAAGTCTGTTTGCTTTGAATCGGTTCAGAGTTGATTTACTTACTCTATATATATATATATAAAAGAAAGTCGTGTTAGTTACACTATTTATAACTCAAGAACGGCTTTACCGATATGCCTGAAAATTGTTGAGGAGGTAGCTTAGAGCCAGGAAACGGACATAGGATACTATTTATTCGTTTTTTTCGAATTTATGCCTTGAAGAGTTGCTTTTTAATTAACTTACTAATATTATAAATGCGAATGATTAGATGGATGTGATGTGGATGGATGGATGGGTGTTTGAAGATATCTCTAGAACGGCTGAACGGATCTCGATTAAATTTGGCATACGTATAGAATATAGTATGAAGGAACACATAGGCTACACTAAATAAGTTTTTTTTACTATATTCACGCGGACGGAGTCGCGGGAGACAGCTAGTTACGCATAAAATAAACAAACAAATTTAGTGTTTTTTTTATTAAATTATTCACTTAGTTTGTTTAAATTTGAATTCTATTATGAATAATAAAAATCGTAATTTTCATCTAAATAAGGTTGTTTAGATTTATCTTTCCTTCGATATTGTTTAGTTGTGTTAAGTTTTATTTTCAATGGCAACTCTTTGGTTGTTACGATATTTTTCTCGAAAAATTTATTATGTGTATTAAAAGTGATATTTGCTATCTGTGCTTTTATTTCTTTAGTGTCATTTTTATATTGTTTCAATTTTGAATCTAATATCTTTCTAAAATATAAATCTACGTTTACATTTTTCTCTTTATTCTCCTTGTCCATGGAATATTCACTGGATGATGATGTGTCTTGTACGGCTGTTATTTTAAATAGTTCTATAGGTCCACTGGTTGCTACAATTTCTTTTTTTATATATATAGAATTATCGTAATAATCTATAGCAGATATCGTTGTGTTTTCTGTACGTAATTTAGTTGATAATTCATGTTTTTTCTTTGTTACTTTAGGTTTATATTTCAATCTTTGTATTTTAGGTTCAAGACGATTGAAACTCTTCTCAAATCTTCTATCCATTTCTTGATCTGATGATAGATTTATTTTATTAAAATCGTTACCCTCTCTATCGGATATTGCACCTCGTGTAAACGTGTTGTAAATCTCGTTTTGTTTGAATATGTTAGCTGTTGGTAAGAAATCGAAATTTAAACCTTTTTTCCATTCGTATTTTGGTTTAATAGTTTTCTCTGGTGTTAAAATAAAATCGTAAGTATAATGATTTGATGTTTTCTTTGTAGATATTGTATTTTTATGTGTATGTTTCTCTTTAACTGATTTGTTTTGTCTTTTAGTAACATCTTTGACGACTTCCTTCATTTCTTGTACTCTTTGCATTGCTTCTTTTAATATAGATTCAACGTCTTCACTGGAATTTTTATTTGCTATGGGTATATCGAAATCTTCATTTGACACTTTGTTAATATCATTGTTAAGATTATTTTCCTCTGATATACTGAAGTTGTTAACGTTAGTCTGTACGAATAGTTTTCCGATTTGATCCGCAATTGTTTCTGATACGAACTGTCTCGCTATCTTCTTGATGTCTTCTAAATTTGCCGTCAATAGTACTAAAGAGGATACTTTGGTTGTTAGCAGTAGATGGATTCCTGTAACAAAGTTTGTGTTAGTCATCTCGGATTGTAACAGAATAAATGTAAAAGTAGCTATCGCCCGCTGGGCGCTGAATTAAAAGATTTTTATATCATAAGGTGGCAAACGAGCGAACGGCTACCTGAACGGCCTGTCTTCTGTGTGATCGTAGTATTTCACTGAGCGAGCCGGGACAATTCGTGCGGAGATGTTAAAGCGGTCTCTACCACTGAAAAATGATTAACTTAGTAGCCTATGTGTTCTTCCAGACTATGTTCTACATGTATGACAAATTTCCTTGAGATCTGTTCAGCCGTTCTGGAGATACCTTCATACATCCTATTTTATCTAAGATTTCGCATTCATAACATTAAGATTTAACTATGAGAACTCAGGTCATAAGTTGCAAGTCAATTACTCCGAGTTACAATATGGATGAAATTCGAAAGAACTTAGGAAATTTTTTGCCCACTGGTAACTCTTAAAACTTTTAAAACCATGGTCAATTAACTGGCATTTAATAAGATCCTTATGGGACTATACAAAGATCTTGTGGCGCTTAAATATTGACATGAGGGCGTTAGTGTGCTGTCATAATTTAATTTGACTTATGCCCTCCGGGTCAGGTAACTGGCAGAATTCTCTATGGTTGTTGCTATTGGAAGAAAAAAAGTTTGTCGATAGTTCATATGTCAAAAAAAAATAACAAAGGGCATGCAAAGAGCCTAAGCATTACATCAGAAATAGACGTGTGAATAAATTAAAAGCCATCTTGATTACAAAAACAATTGAGCGTAATTTATTCCGCTTTTGAAATGACACCTAAATAAGGCTGGTGATACACTAGTGTTCTTAGTTCGAAACGAACGTTCGTGAATTATTATTGAAGTCGACAGCAAATAATTATGTAACAAAGTGCTGATAAACGGCTGTATCTTTTGATTTCGTTGGCTTAGAAGTTTGATTTTTTCACAACACCAAAAGACAGTAGACTTGAGTATTTGATATAAATTCTAGCTTGATACTTTCACGCGTTCCTGAGAAAAAGTCCTAACAGATAGACGGACGGACTACAAAGTCATCCTATAAGGGTTCCGATTTTTTCCTTTGGAAATACGGAACCCTAAAAAGAGTTTTTAGTTGCTTCAACTTAATTAAAATTTAGTACAATTTTAAGCATATAAATTAGTAACTTAATTAACGTGCCCGCTTTAACATCTTCGCATGAAGTGTCCCGGCTCGCCCGGTGAAATACCACGACTACACGGAAGACAGGCGTCAAGTGGTAGGAATTCTGCGTACAGTCCGATGTGTGCGTCTCGGAGGCCTAATTTAGTCCTCTTTCTCTTCCCACTCTTTTTCTTGTAAGGAAAGGATGGGAAGTAGAAGTGGACTTTCCGGATGAGAGGATGCATGGGAAGGGAAAATATTTTCTTTCTGTGCATCCTCTATTCCGTCGATTAAAAGTAGGCAGCGCATATATAATTGCATATGTCTATGGGTAACGGTCACTTCGCTATTTCAGCGATTTCGGTTGGCCGCTCGCTCGTTTGCACTTTTTGATATAAAAAAAAATTAAATCGTTTCAGTCTAGTGTTTCAACACCTTTAGTGTTAGAAATTTGATCTTAAAAGCACGTGCTTCTAATTAATATCGCGTCTCATAACATGATTTGTGGTTTTCATGACGTCATAGCTCAGTGGCGACATCTAGATAACGAGGTATCAGTGACTCCTAAAGTGATCTTATGATTATTGCCCCATCTATTGACTGCATTGTAGGATCATTTTGTTGTTCGTCTGTTAAGCCCCTTTTTCAGGTACGGGTGGAGGTATCAAGCTGGAATTTATTGCCAAATGATTTACGTATGATTCTCTATATTTCTTGAAATCAATAGAATACAAAACATCATAAAATATTAGATATATATATATACTGCCTTAAATACAATAGCTAATATAGTACTCATAACCCTATTCAAAATATATGAAGCGTCGGTGGCTCAGGGGTCAGACACTTGACTTGCAATCTGCAGGTCCTGGATTCGAATCCCGCGATGTACCAATGTGTTTTTCCATTTATCCGACGTTCTTACGGTAAAGGAAAACATCGTGATGCTGCACATATCTGAGAAATTCAAAGATATGTGTGAAGTCAACCGACCCGCACTTGGCCAGCGTGGTTGACTATGGCCTAATCAACCCTAACTTAGTGTAGGCTCCGAGCCCCTCGGTGGGGACGTATAGTGAGCTGATGATGATGAACCCTATTCAATACCTAATCTTGTAAATTGATCTGAAGAGATAGCGTAATAATAGTTGTCGCCCGCGACTCCGTCCGCCCAGAATTGAAAAAAAAACTAAATTAGTCTATGTGTTTTTTAACAGTGGTAGAGCCCGCTTTAACATCTTCGCACGAATCGGCCCGGCTCGCCCGGTGAAATACCACGACCACACAGAAGACCGGCGTGAAGTGGAAGCAATTCCGCGTTTCGTCTGATGAGTGTGCGTCCCGGAGGCCAAAATTAGTCCTCTTTCCCTTCCCACCCTTTTTCTTATAAGGAAAGGATGGGAAGTGGTAGTGGACTTTCCGAATAAGAGGATGCATGGAAAGGGAAAATATTTTCTTTCTGTGCATCCTCTTCTCCGTCGATTAAAGGTAGGCAACGCATATGCAATTGCGTATGTCTATGGGCAACGGTCACTTCGCTGTTTTAGCGATTTTAGGTGGCCGCTCGCTCGTTTGCCACCTTGTGATATAAAAAAAAAAAATGTGTTCTTCCAGACTATGTTCATCTGTGCCAAATTTTCATCAAGATCTGTTAAACCGTTCTGGAGATATAAACAAACATCCATCTAGACATTCGCATTTGTAATATTATTAAGAGTGAGGTTTTTCATTACAATTATAAGAATTATTCAATAGCCTTTTAATTATGACTTCACTATGACTATGTGATAGTGAATGCTGGTCCAGTGCAAGACTTCACACATTTGTTTTTCTCAGATATGTCCAGCATCACAATTTCCTTCACAGTAACAACATACGATAAATGTACATACGCAACACATTGATACATGAACGGGATTTGATAAGACCTGCATATTAATTATAAAATTTCACATTTAACAGTGGTAGAGCCCGCTTTAACATCTTCGCAGGAATTGTCCTCGCTCAGTGAAATACCACGACCACACAGAAGACACGACTCAAATGGAAGCAATTCCAAGTACAGTCTGATGAGTGTCCTAATATAGTCCTCTTTCTCTTTCAAACCTTTTTCTTATAAGGGAAGGATGTGAAGTGGAAGTGGACTTTCCGGATGAGAGGATGCATGGAAAGGGAAAATGTTTTTTTTCTGTGCATCCTCTCCTCCGTCGATTAAAGGTATGCAATTGCGTATGTCTATGGGCAACGGTCACTTCGCTATTTCAGCGTTCAGGTGGCTGCTCGCTCGTTTGCCAACTTATGATATAAAAAAAATTTGAATATTCGTTTCTATTACTTACCAATAGCTAGAAATCCAGTTAATATCAACATTTCTACTACATATTGAAGTTAATACTAACAATTTTATTTATATTGCGAAATAAGATTTCAAATTTTATATTCGCCATTCAAATAATACGATTGTTTTTATGTGTTACGCTAATACAGCTATGTAGCATGCGACTCCGTATGGAATTAATAAAATAAGTAGTCTATGTGTTCTTCCAGACTATGTTCTATATGTATGACACATTTCATCAAGATCCGTACAGACATTCTGGAGATATCTTCTAACATTCTGAACATTCGCATCTTCTATATATATAAAAGAAAGTGGTGTTAGTTACGCTATTTATAACTCAAGAACGGCTTTACCGATATGCCTGAAAATTGTTGAGGAGGTAGCTTAGAGCCAGGAGACGGACGTAGAATACTATTTATTCATTTTTTTCGAATTTATGCCTTGAAGAACTGCTTTTTATTTAACGTACTTATATTATAAATGCGAATGTTTAGATGGATGTGATGTGGATGGATGGGTGGGCTACAGTAATTAAGTTTTTATATATCCACGCGGACGGAATCGCGGGCGACAGCTGGCTTTTAATATTAATACGATTAAAAACAATTCGTGTAACATAATGCTTTACTAAAATGACGTCATAGCTACAGTATAAAGTTAATTTTTAATAACAACAATCATTTTCCATTGGTGTGTGAGAGAGACAAAAGTCCTGTTTATTATATCGTCATCCCTCTCTGTATTTTATACAAAAGGTTTTTGGTATCAGAAACCAACAATGAAACATTAAAAACTAAACTAAAGATTTTCAACCTTTTTAGGGTTCCGTACCTCATAGGAAAAATACGGAACCCTTATAGGATCACTTTGTCCGTCCGTCTGTCAAGACCCTTTTTCTCAAATACTCCTGAAGTTATCAAGGTGGAATTTATATCAAATACTCAGGTTTGCGGTCGCTAGGTGCTGTGAAAAATTAAACTTTTAAACCAACGTAATCAAAAGATACAACCATATATGTCGCAAATTAAAGCAAATTTTCGACATTCGCAAGGGAACCAAAACCTACAGGGTACTTACCGTGAACCACACAGAAGACAGGCGTGAAGTGGAAGCGATTCCGCGTTTCGTCTGATGAGTGTGCGTCCCGGAGGCCTAATTTAGTCCTCTTACACTTCCCACCCATTTCCTTATCAGGAAAGGATGGGAAGTGGAAGTGGACTTTCCGGATGAGAGGATGCACAGAAAGAAAATATTTTTTTTCTGTGTATCCTTTCCTCCGTCGATTAAAGGTAGGCAACGCATGTGCAACTGCGTATGTCCATGGGCAACGGTCACTTCGCTGTTTCAGCGATTTCAGGTGGCCGCTCGCTCGTTTGCCACCTTATGATATAAAAAAAAAACTTAGAATCTTGAAATTTGGCACGAAGCAACATCGTAAAGCACAGATAGAAGAAAAATTGCGAAAACAGTAAATTTTTAGTTTTATCATATTTATTTTAAAATACTAATTTCGGGTAGCCACCATACTTTGGGAATGTACTAAACAAATCGTGAAGAATTTTTACAGTTTTACGGTGGCAACAAAACAGTGAAACCTAAGAGTCCAAGAGACCGAGATATTTCTCGCTTATAGAGGTTTCTCTTATGAGTTACTCGCCTTTAGTTCGTCAATCTGCACCGGACATTAACTCTTGCTTATACAGTTCAAAGGTATTTACAATTTCACGTTCTTTTTCCAGCCATGCTACGTCTGCAATAGTACTGGACATAACTGCAGAGCGTTGCCCACAAAATTAGAAGAGGATCTAGAACTGACTACAGAAACTAATAACAACGATACCACGGAATCAACAGGTAAATATTACATTTTGCGTCAGGAAAACCTAATTTTACTCCTAATTCCCACCCTTTTTCTTATAAGGAAAAGATGGGGAGTGGAAGTGGACTTTCCGGATGAGATGCATGGGAAGGGAAAATATTTTCTTTCTGTGCATCCTCTCCTCCGTAGATTAAAGGTAGGCAACGCATATGCAATTGCCTATGTCTATGGGTAACGATCGCTTCGCTGTTTCAGCGATTTCAGGTGACCGCTCGCTCGTTTGATACCTCTTAAAAAAAATCACAGTTTATTCTACGCCTCAATGGGAGACTCATTGGGGCATAGGATAAACGTTCAAAGGGAAACAAGCCATTATTCTAATACGTATAAACTTTATACCACTTTTTTAAGATATTGCTTAATCTAATAACTAAGAATATTAATGTGGCGAAGTTTATGAAGCTCAAATCAAGCCAGCAATTGTCTATGTGTTCTTCCAGACTATGTTCTACATCTATGTCTAATTTCATCAAGATACATGCAGCTGTTCTGGAGATATCTTCTAACATACATCTAAACATTCGCATTTATTACTAAGAAGTAAGATTTTGAATAATGAGTCACTATTACTAATATTAATTTTAATGTGTGGATGCCATCTAACTCCAGATGGATCTGAATGTAGGAACTGTTATGAAGAAAATCCGGCAGTATGTCGGTGTATCGCAACACTAGCCTTATTAAAATATCAACGTTTATGTCCTCTCACTACATCTGACACATGACTTTGTTACGAAAGTGCGCTTGCGTCAAATGATTCTAATTATTAATGTCTAAAAGAACATACCTTCTTCCATCTAATTTGTTACAAGGATGGAAAGGGGAAGTGGATTTGGCTTAAGTTTGACAAATGTAGGAGAAATAGGATTTGTTTTCGTCGTTTTAAGGTAGAAAATAATTTACAATGTTCACTTTACAGTTTTGGCTAATTCAAGTGGCTTGTTTTATAAAAATTGCTTATTATTTTATTTTAAAGTGCTGGAAGATGAAATAGAAGCGACTGGAGTAGAAGATACAGATTTCGTGCTATACGTAAGTGCTGTAGAGACGGAGAGATGTAGACGTGGCTTGACTGTTGCGTACGCTTCTCATTGTCAACAGGAATCTGCGTTGGACAGGTATGTACTGCTCACACTTATGAATTATATATATATATATATAAACTAGCGGACCCGACAGACGTTGTCTGACAATTTGACACTGCGATGGTAGCGCCGTCTGTCGGATCCAATGTAAAACATTCCAAAATCAACAACTACTAATAAATTAAAAATTAATTAAAAAAACATTGTCCAGCGGACAAAATTGTGAATCTAAACCATTCCCAGATCCCCTTGAACACACACAAAAAATTTCATCAAAATCGGTCCAGTCGTTTGAGAGAAGTTCAGTGACATACACACTCACAGAAGAATTATATATATAAAGATATCAGTCCTTTTCTTTATCTTATTTTTTATTGTGTTACTTCATACACTATAGTGTGTCTATTTAAGATATATTAGTTTGACAATTGACGTCTATAAAGTATAGAATTAATTTTGTATGAGGATTAATGTTGTACTTAATGGACACTTGTCATAGTGTTGGACCGTACGTGTGCGGACAACTGTGAAGTATCGAGAATCGCTCTTGTTATAAAATTAATCAAAGAAATGCATACTATAATTTAGGTATTTTATTACTTATTGAATTTATTACAGTTATTTGGTTATGTATAACACAATTAATTAAAATTAAATCTATTCTGTTGGTTTAATATCTTATTACTTTATGTAGTTATGAAGGATAAAGTAGAAATAGAAAGAAACAATTTTATTTATATTGTAAATCAAAAACAATCATGAAATTTTCGATTGCAAGTTCTATGAGAACAAACATAGAAAATCTATTAAATCTATATATATAAAAGAAAGTGGTGTTAGTTACACTATTTATAACTCAAGAACGACTTTACCGATATGCCTGAAAATTGGTGAGGAGGTAGCTTAGAGCCAGGAGACCGACATAGGATACTATTTATTCATTTTCGAATTTATGCCTTGAAGAATTGCTTTTTATTTAACTTACTAATATTATAAATGTTAAATGTTTAGATGGATTTGATGTGATGGGTGGATGGAGTCGCGGGCGACAGCTAGTTCCTAATATATTTTACTCATCCCATATCTAGTGAATAGTCAAACTAATATATCTTAAATAGACACACTGTATATATGATTTTGGAATTAAAAAGTGTTTTTTTATTTGACTATAGGCCGGTAGCGGGTCATGCTAATTTTTGTCCAGGAGAATTGTCAACGAATTATCGAGATCTTCCATCTGTTCTGTCAACAGTGAAACACGAAATGTTGCACGCTTTAGGTTTTAGTGTGTCTTTATTTGGATTTTATAGGTAAGTTTAACTGATATATAAACACGGCTAAGCACTTCATCAGGATGAGTGGTACTGGTATTATTTCGCGGACGCGGCCCGTCGCTCACTGTCGCCACCGGACGTATATACGTGAGTGTTTAGCCGTGTTTATATATCAGTTTAGTATAATGTCTCACGAAAGTTTGAATAATTTTATAGATAAGTTGTTACTTATATGATAATCAGCTCTAAGTACCCACTCAGTCTACACTAAGTGAGACTGTGATAGTGAATGCTGGTCCAGTGTAAGATTTCACACATTTGACTTTGTCAGATATGAGCATCATGATGTTTTCCTTCACACAAAAACAATAGTGCATGGCAACATCAGAACCCAGGACTTGCAGATTACATTTGCTTAACTCCTGAGCCACCGACGCTCAAATACTTAAATATAATATTTATTTCCAGAGATGACAATGGAGAACCGTTGACAGAAAGAAGACCAGACACTGGAGATCCACCTCTGGATGAAGAGTAAGTTACTAATATAAATGCGAATGTTTAGATGTTTGTTAGAAGGTATCTCCAGAACAGCTGCATAGATCATGATGAAATTTGTCATACATATAGAACATAGTCTGGAAGAACACATAGGCAAATATTATAAATAGAAAAGATCTGTTTGTTTGTGTTGGATAAACTCAAAAACTACTGAACTGATTTGAATAATTCATTCACTGTTAGGAAGCTACACTATCTCTTAGTGACATAGACTATATTACTAGACTGTAGCCTGCGGCTCTGTCCGTCTTAAGAAAAAAACTATGTGTTCTTTCATACTATGTTTTATATCAGTTGTTCCCAAACTTATTTTGTCTACTGCCCACTTTGATAATAATTTTTAGCGCCCCCTAATTTTCAAAATTTTAAAAACCACTATAACTTCAAATTAAACTAATTAATTATTGTGACATATATATGTATATTAACGGAGAATTGTAAAGGAAACGTTTTACTATAACCCGCAACTTGAGACCTGCAGCGTCCACAAGGGGACGTTATCTCACACTTTGGGAAAGACAGGTCTATATGTATGACAAATTTCATCAAGATCTATACAGCAGTTCTGGACATATCTTCTAACATACATCTAAACATTCGCATTTATAATATTTGTTTTTTTTTATTTACTTTATATTAAATTGTTTATTTATATTTCTAGATTACAGATTCACAAATGGTCATCCCGTGTAGTTAAAAACGTAACTCGTAGAAACTGGATGATAAGAGGTGGTTATATGTCGCGAACTTTTCACATGATTGTCACACCCAGAGTTGTTAAAGAGGTAAATATAAGATACTAGATGTCGCCCGCGACTCCGTATGCGTGGATATATAAAAAAAACTTAATTAGTGTAGCCTATGTGTTCCGTAATTTAATCGAGATCCGTTCAGCCGTTCTAGAGATGTCTTCAAAGATCCATCCATCCATCCACATCTAAACATACGCATTTATAATATTAGTAAGTTAAATAAAAAGCAGCTCTTCAAGGCATAAATTCGAAAATGAATAGTATCCTATGTCCGTCTCCTGGCTCTAAGCTACCTCCTCACCAATATTCAGACAAATCGGTAAAGCCGTTCTTGAATTATAAATAGTGTAACTAACACCACTTTCTTTTATATATATATAGATTCCTAAGTTTTCAAACTTACTTAAATCCTATTCCTCGTGTACTTTCTTATAGGTCTTATCGTGGGTTTCTGAGTCCAAAAACTCTTTTGTCGAAGATATTTTCGTCTCAGTAACCATATTTTTTTTATTATTCGAGTCTTAGTATGAAGATAATTTTTTTAGGTCCGTGAACACTTTAACTGTTCAGATCTGGAAGGTGCAGAATTAGAAGATCAAGGTGGAGATGGTACGGCTCTCACACATTGGGAGAAAAGAGTCTTTGAAGTAAGTATAACACATTTCTCATTTTTTTACATCCCCTAAGAGTGATAGACAATTTGACTAAGAATTGTAAAATCGCCGAAATAGCGAAACTACCGATGCCGATAAACAAAGCAGTATTTTTTTTATATATTGCCATAACGAGCGAGCAATCTGAAATCGCTGAAATAGCGAAGTGATTGCCCATAGACATACGCAATTGCATATGCGTTGTCTACATTTAATCGATGGAGGAGAGGATGCACAGAAAGAACATATTTTCCCTTTCCATACATCTTCTCATCCTGAAAGTCCACGTCCACTTTCCATCCTTTCCTTATAAGAAAAAGGGAAGGGAATGAGGAGTAAATAAGGCCTCCGGGACGCACACTCATCAAACGAAACGCGGAATTGCTTCCACTTGATGTCTTCTGTGTGGTCGTGGTATTTCACTGAGCGAGACCAATTCCTGCGAAGATGTTAAAGCGAGCTCTACCACTGTTAGGACACACAAGTAGACATAGAAAGAGAATATTCCCCTTCCTATCCTATGTTTATAAGAATAAATTCAGCTAGATACCTTCACGCGTTTTTGAAGAAAAGACAACAAAGTAATCCTATAAGGGATCCGTTTTTTTCCTATGAGGTACGAAACCTTAAAAAGGAAGGGAAACATGACTAAAGTTCCTTTTCATCAGATGGAACGCGGATACTTCCATATTAAATCCAAAGTCTTACCTAAGTCCTAATTAGTCTTGTTCTTCCTAGAACGAAGCAATGACTGGAACACATACACAGAATTCAGTATTCAGTCGTATCACATTAGCATTGATGGAGGATACTGGATGGTATCGCGCTGACTATACACACGCGAGCCCCCTACATTGGGGTAGGGGGTTGGGTTGCAGATTTGCGATGGCCTCCTGCAAACAATGGCTGAATACACAAAGGTTGAGGTATTTCATGAACGCTTGGGTGGTGGCTTCGGGCGTATATGTTTTTTTTTTAGTTATTTAGTGTGTCCTTGAAGAGATACCCCTTAAGGTCTCTTCTTGGTCTTTATTAGGAGATAAATTACTTAAGATAGGGGATCTAAGAATGAGACCTCCTATCCCTTAGGGGGTGTCTGTCTTAGTACTCTTAAATATAGATTTACACTCATAATCGCTAAATTCTCATTAAATAAGTTACTAATTCCACATGATACATTGATTTTCATAATGGTGGGGTTGTTCATCATCACCTACCTTAAGATAGAAGTGACTAGTTCATAGTCAACCACGCTGGACAAGTGCAAGACTTCACACATTTGACTTTCTCAGATATGTGCAGCATCACGATGTTTTTCTTCACTTTAACGTCGGATAAATGTACATATGTAAATCGGAAATGGAAAAACACATTGGTACATGGCGGGATTCGAACCCAGGACCTGCAGATTGCAACTCAAGTGCTTAACCCCTAAGCCACAGACTCTCAACGACTTGGGGTTGTTAGCGGGAAATAAATTTAAGGGATCACAATTTGAACTCATAATCAAAGGGGTTACTATAAGTATAATAATATGATTGTAATGGGTAAAATTTAACACATAAATTACAACACTCAGAAACCTTAATTGGGTAACTAAGAGCGTACATTAGTGTAGATTTCTCATACTAAAGAAAGTAAAGAAAATAATACTAACAAAGGGTATAGTTTAAAATGTGTATAACAAGGGTTAGCAATCTTTCGCGAGTTTGATCATTTTTATCGTTAGAATAATTACAGTCGAACTAGGATGAACGAGAACTAGAAACTAGATTTTGACTAGTGTCTTGCTAACAAAAGTCTAGTTGGGACCTGGGGGAGTCTAGTTGGGGTCTAGTCTAGGACCTGTCCTGACAGAATACGCGGAAAATCGGCTTAGAAACTTATGTATATAAACACTAGCGGACCCGACAGACGTTGTCCTGTCTACACGTCTTTAATTCGAATATTATTTAAAATTTGACACTGCGATGGTAGCGCCGTCTGTCGGATCCAATGTAAAACATTCCAAAATCAACAACTAATAATAAATTAAAAAATTAATTAAAAAACATTGTCCAGCGGACAAAATTGTGAATCTAAACCATTCCCAGATCCCCTTGAACACACACAAAAAATTTCATCAAAATCGGTCCAGTCGTTTGAGAGAAGTTCAGTGACATACACACTCACAGAAGAATTATATATATAAAGATGTAATAAAAATGATTTGGTCTCTTTGATTCTCCTTTATTCTGGTTGGACTGTATATGATTTCTTTGTAACTAACGTATATCTTTTTTTTTAAACAATTTGAAGCAATTCAACGGATAGTACTGAGTAAGTAATAAAAATATATGTTCTTTGGATTTTCCTTCTATATGTATATATATATTTACTGACATTATATGTTTAATTTACAAGCCTAAGTAATGGAACGGATATTGAAGAGTAAGTAAATCTTCAAAAAAAATTAATAATTTATATTTAAATTTTATCCATTTTGAAGAACTAAAGTAGATAAAGCTTAACATAGACCTTTTGAATTAATTATGTTAATTAATAAAATTAATAAATAAAAGGAAAAATATTAAACAAACAAACGTCAAATTATTGCCGCCATTTTATAGAAAATTTTGACATAAATTTACCTCTATATATGGACTGGCTATAGCAAGTAGAATTTTGTGCCAATTTGATTGTGCCATTTGACGCTGATGTTAGTAGTTTGTAGCCGCGCTGAGGATTAAACTAATAATATTGATAGAATTAAAAGAAATATAGATAGAATAACATAGAAATAATTAAAAAAAAGAAGAAATAGAATTTATATCGGAATGTAAAAGTAATTTCAAAACAATCGCCTGTCCATATATAAAGATCTTTTTCATATAAGCGATTCCTTCTCTTTCCTTGTATTCTAATTTGAACCTTATTGCTATAGACGTAAGAATCCAGCGCCGTTCTGCGAGAGAGTGAAAGGCGATCCATTAAGAACGGAATGTTCCCCAAAGAGAACTGCTGTGGTTCTCTGCAATTTGGTGCGACACGAGAATATATTGCCCAGAGCTTATCAGGTAACTATTTAGGAAGAAAATTCGACAGTGCCGGTGTATCGCAACACTAGCCTTATTAAAATATCAACGTTTATGTTCCCTCACTACATCTGACACAAGACTTTGTTACCAAAGTGCGCTTGCGTCAAATTATTCGAATTATTAATGTCTAAAACTCCATTTAGGGCAGTTGACTGACCCTAAGTGGGACTCAAAGTCAAGAATCTATATTCTTGAAAATATATCTGTGAGGCATTAAACTAAAACTATGTTCTATATGTATGACAAATTTCATCAAGATACGTTCAGCCGTTCTGGAGATATCTTCTAACATATATCTAAACATTCGCATTTATAATATTAGTAAGATATATAAGTTATTTTGTCTGTATGTTTGTGTGCGCTAATTTAAAAAACGGCTGAACCGATTTTAATGAGGTTTTCGCTAATCTATTGTGATAAAATTCACTTAAAATCTAGTGCTATATTTTACACAATCATCCTAGAATTATACCTAGATATAATTCAATCTTCCAGCACTTCGACCTCCTACCAAACGTGCCCCCAGGGGACGAAGCACACTACGGTGGGTCAGTGTCTCTGGCGGACTACTGCCCCTACCTGCAGGAGTTCACTTGGAGACACAAGAGTGTCCTCATACGAGGCAGCCGGTGTTCATACGAAGAGAATACACCAAGTAAGTTTACATTGATGGAAACATGTTTAAAAACATGTTATACCATACGATAAGTATTTCAGACTTATAGTCGAATTGTTCAAAAGTTACTACGAACTTACATTTGACTATATAAAAAATGGACTAGGCAAAGCCATTGTTGAACTTTGCCACGCACAAATCGAGGATACAAGAATTATTAGATTTTTTTTCGATTTTAACAAAAGACAATGGGCGTTTGAAAGATCCTGTCTCTTAAAAGTCAAAGTGACAAAGCTATGAACGGCATTTTGTTGCCATTTTAGGTTAAAGACAATATAGTAGGTATAATTTTTTTTTTATCTTTATTTTTTACGTTATTTTTCAGAGACTGATGTTAATTTCGCATTAGAAAATTACGGACCGCATTCAAAATGCTTCGACCATAGCGACAGAGTGTGGGAACAGAAATCATGTAGACAGGTAAGTTGAAAAACGCTTTTTTTTATTAAAACAACCAAAAAAAACTCATCTGAATCTACTTTATGACACTCTTTGTAAGAATACGAATCGAATGACACCTCACTTGTCAAAATCTGTTTAGGATATAGGATGTTATAAAAATACGATTTTTCTTTTTAATGTTTTCAGATAAGAGAATGGCAACACTGGGGCTCTGGTTGCTACAAATATAAATGTCAAAGTGGAAGATTACATATTGTGGTGAGTAAATAAAAAAAAATTCTTTTTTAATCTGATTTACCTTAAAGTCGGGCATTTTTTAACAATATTAACCCAAAGTCGGGCATTTTTTTAAACATTTTTACATTTTTTCACTCATTATTACTCAATCGGGCATAATTCAATCATCATTACTCACAGTCGGGCATTTTTTAAATATTTTTACTCATGGTCGGGCATTTTTCAATCATCATTACGCACAGTCGGGCATTTTTTTAATATTTATACTCATAGTCGGGCATTTTTTTAATATTTATACTCATAGTCGGGCATTTTTTTAATATTTATACTCATAATCGGGCATTTTTCAAACATTTTTACTCAAAGTCGGGCATTTTTCAATCATCATTACTCATAGTCGGGCATGTTTAAACATTTTTACTGACAATCGGATTACAATTTTCATGTAGGTGGGCAACTACTCGTATACATGCTACCACGCGGGGCAAGTGCTGCAAGTGAGGATCATGCAGCGCGGCTGGCTGCACCGTGGAGGTGTCGTCTGTCCACCATGCAGAGAGCTCTGCGCTGAAGAGTTTCAAGTCAGTTCACAGATCTACATTATTTGGTTGATAGGAGCTATCATACTTGAGGAATTAAAAAAGAGTTTAAGAAGAGATATCTTCTAACAAACATCCATACATCCATCCATTCACATCTTACTAATATTATTAATACGAATGTTTAGATGGATGGATATTTGAAGGTATCTTCAAAAGTAATAAACGGATTTTGATGAAATTTGTCATACATATAGAACATAGTCTGGAAGAACACATAGGTTACTTTTTTTTTAATTCTACGCAGACGGAGTCGCAGTTAACAGCTAGTTTATACTAGTAAGATTTGATGTGACTTATTATGTTTTCTTTATTTTTCAGTCTCGTGGTGAATACTGTAAAGGAGGTGAAGAAGCACCACCACCTAATTTGTACCCAAATGATTTGTTGGTCTGTAAATCTCCCGCGCTTTTGCCAGCCGCCATCTTGTTATTGTCCGCCATCTTGTGTGTCTACGTTATTTGATGTTTATGTGATTTATAAACGTTACCATTGTGAAAGTTGTTAGGACGAAATTTATCTGGCTCTTTAATAGTTCTGTTGTCACGTTCTGTCAGACGTGACAGTTTGACAAGGATCTTGTGACATTGAGTTATAGTGTCTGTTTAAGATAGGTTAGTTTGACAATTCACTAGATATGGGTTGAGTAAAATCTAGATTTTTAGAGAATTTCTTAGATTTTCGATGTTTTTTTTCGTAGAACTTTTAATGGAGAATCGGTGATTGATTAATTAGATATTTTATATGCGTCAGTTGTCAAACTAATCTTAAATAGACGTACTATAGTGAGGTTATTTGACATATACCCACCGGGTCAAATAAATTCGTCGTCCTATATTATATTCGACTGAAAATTGTTTAATTGGAAATTACGAGAAAATAACGATTAACTATAAATGTGTTCTCTCTTAAATTGTGTTAAAATTGACTTTGACATGTTTTTAAACATGTTTTTCGACAGTGAAAACTTATTTTTTTTGTGAATTAAGGACTTTGTACGTTTCTATTCTTGAATATAGCACTTATTACTAAGTGCTTAGAGTACAGTATTGAATGACAATACTAAGAGAGGCACTTTTTGTATGTAAATATCTTAATATAAATACGTCCGTGGAAATTTCAGCTTTATTTTAATGCTATTTAAGTTTATTTTTAAATATCATGTACTTATATTTTTTATTGTATTTTAAGAAGTGTTTTGCTACGGACCAATGAGGTGAGTCGTGTTCGCATTGCTGAAACATTCACAGAAACATGTTGGATTTGTCATGTCTATTGGATTATGTCTTTGGAATGTAATATTTGTTACGATATTGCCCTACTATGAGTCGGGCAGTTTTTTGCCCGACTCAAATTGCGAGAAATTTTGCACGAGGAAATTTTCTGGGACAAATAATTGCCCGACCCAATGTAAAATTGTTACGATAACTTTGCCCTACTTTAAGTCGGGCATTTTTTGCTAGTAATTTTGCTCGATGAAAAACTTTACACGTGAATTCACTGTCGCAAATAAAAATTGCCTGACCCAGTAATATAAAATTGTTACGGTAACTTTGCCCTACTTTAAGTCGGGCATTTTTTGCCCGATACAAATTTTGCACGATTAAATTATTTAAATGAGAATATTTTCTGGGACAAAAAAAAAATTGCCCGACCCAGTAATGTAAAATTGTCTCGATATTGCCCTACTATGAGTCGGGTATTTTTTTGCCCGACTCAAACTTTAAGAAATTTTGCTCGATAGAAAATTTGTCATATAAATATTTACCGCGACAAAGAAATTAAAAAAAAAATGCCCGACTTTGAAATTTACGTTTTTAGGCGCCATAATTATAAACAAAGTACCAGGATATCATAACATATGAAGAACAAAACTATTCAAAGGCAGAAGAAAAAAATATATCCATCTCTTTCACACACACGTAATATCTATCTATCTCTTTTATACCAAAAGCACGCGTTTGAAAGAATTGTTTGCGGCAATGCGAATTACGAATATAGTTAGTTATTTGAAATTAAAAATTAACCTTTTTTACTGAAGTGTTTGAGAACAAAATCATAATTAAAAGTAAGCTTCCAATTTGAAAAAAAAGAAACTATTCATCAAGACGATTCAAACTGTCTAAACTGGATGGATGGATGGAGGATGTAGAAGCTGCATCATCAGATCAGCTCCGTGTCATCATAATACTGTATTGTCACGTGATTTACACATTTATCTAACATTTTAAGCGTTTCTGACTTAGGGGTTAGTCACTTGACTTGCAATCTGCAGCTCCCGGGTTCGAATCCTGTCATGTATCAATGTGTTACATACGTACATTTATCGTATGTTGTTACGGTGAAGGAAAACATCGTGATGCTGCACATATCTGAGAAAGTCAAATGTGTGAAGTCTTGCACTGGACCAGCATTCACTATCACATAATCTCACTTAGAGTAGACTCTGAGTGGGGACTTAGAGCTGATGTATGTAACATTTCTACTCAATCTGTAACACGCAAGCGACAAGTTGACCTTTCATTTTTAACAAACATCGGGACATGACAAACTAAATGGCATATTGCCGTCTCTTTTATTGCCAAAGAGAATGAAAGAGACAATACATTGATATTCTGTAGAAAATGTCAAACACTTCAGTGAAATAAGCGATTAGTCAAAGTTAAATTTAACTTATACTTAAGTCTAACTCTTAAATGCCATAACTTAATTTATTTTTTTTCTATTTTGCACCTTATTCACGTAGTTTTATAACATATATAATGCAGTCAAGTTTGATTAATCGTGGGTTTCCGAGATGAAAATCTCCGTTTACGATATTATATCGAGATTTTAGAAACCAACTGAGGAAATTAACCCGAACAAAAGTACTTTAAGGGCATTTTTTTTTGCTTTTTGTGCTGCAGAATATATATAAATTTAAACTATAGTTAAACAAGGATATTTGACCGGATAAGACTTTACTATCGTGGTTAGTTATGTCAGAAAAAAAAACATTAAGAGACACAGAAAACAGATATGACAAGATTTTTTTTATATCTACCTGAAATCGTTTAAATTACGAAGTGACCGTTGCTTATAGACATACGCAATTGCATATGAGTTACCAACCTTTAATCGACGGAGAGGATGCACAGAAAGAAAATATTTTCTCTTCCCATCCATCTCATCTGGAAAGTCCACTTCCACTTGTCATCCTTTACTTATAAGAAAAAGGTTGGGAAGTGAAAGAGGAGTAAAATTAGACCTAAGGTACTAAACTCATCAGAGTGTAGTTGGAATAGCTTCTCACTTGTGTCGTGTCTTCTGTGTGCTCGTATTGCAGGCGAGGACAATTCCTGCGATGTTAAAGCTCGCTCTACCACTATTAAAAATGACTATAATTAACTTTTAATGTCATGTCTGTCAGATAACTTTGTCGGACTAATCTGGTGACAACATGTCATGTTATTGTGTTCGGGTTGTGTTTGTAAATATGTAAACTTAATTGTTTTATTTCGCAGGTGCTTAGTATGCTTTAATTTGTGATTATTTCATTCCTATTTAAAGAAATCGAATAAATAATATAATTATTGTTAATATATTTTTTTATTACAACCCCTAGATGTTTTTGCCTTACAATTGCATTTGGATTCATATTGTCATCCCTTTCATTACGTTATAGAAAAACAAAGATAGCGTCACTAATGTATAGTTCTTTTCAAATATCTAAGCGGCTCAAGGTAATCTGCGCTATACTAATATAATAAAGCGCAAAAACAACTTCCTACATCGCTCTTATCGCCTTATTAAGCCCTATATTTACGACTTGCTATAGTTTATTTATAAGCAATTACAATTAGGTGGTGAGTAATTTGAAGAAAATAGTTATGTTAGAAAGGGACAAAAATTGCAAGCCAATAGCAGCAAAGATTTTTGCCATGATAACTTCTAAGCTAATGACGATCTTCGTTTTCAACTGAGCATTTGAATTTTGACATATGAAATTAAAAATTTTACGCTATAATAAAACCAAGTTTTCCTGTAAAACAAAAATCAATGGAATTTCATGCGGATAAAGCCTAGCGGCTATTAACTTGCTGCGAATTGCTGTGTTGAATACAATATTAGGTGTGTTGGGATGTAGAGGAATGAGGACAGCACTGCGGGCATGATCTTGAGCTGCCGAGGTATTTGAAAAGTATTATACAGTACTACTCGTATGTGTTAACCTTTTCCATTTCAATTAAAGACATTAAATTAATTTTAATAACCGCATTTAATTTCGTGTTAATTTTCTGCTAAATCTTTACAACATTTTTATGAACTTTATCAAAACATTTTTGTCGAATATTGATTCAAAAATGAACACCTTTTACTTTTTCTTAGGTAAGTAAATATAAAGAAAAAAAAATACTGTGGAACCTGGACAAGCAAGCCCTCTCTCTAACCAGAGTTCTCGCTTAGAGAGATTTCTCTCTAACCTGAGTTTCTCGCTTATAAAGGTCTCATCCTAACCCGAGTTTCGCCTTCATCGAAAGTTCTTTCTAACCCAAGTTTCTCGCTTATTGAGGTTTCTCTCTAACCCGAGTTTCTCGCTTATAGAGGTTTCTCTCTAAGCCGAGTTTCTCGCTTATAGAGATTTCTTTCTAGCCTGAGTTTCTCGCTTATAGAGGTTTCTCTGTAAGCCGAGTTTCTCGTTTATAAAGATTTCTCTCTAACCCGAGTTTCTCGCTTATAGAGGTTTCTCTCTAAGCCGAGTTTCTCGCTTATAGGAGTATCTCTCTAACCCGAGTCTCTCGTTTATAGAGATTTCTCTCTAACCCGAGTTTCTTGCTTATCCAGATTCGTATTTAACAAGACATTTTTTACAGTATCCATTATATTAACCATGACAGAATCGTACGTTTACTTACAAGTTCGTAAAAATGGTAATCATTCTGATGTTGACGCATTAATACATAAAGTTATACCAAAGATAGATATAGAAAACTCTAGAAGGAAGATTAATCGTCGTATAAACACAAAGTCTAATCTAGAAGAACAATTAAAAGATCTAGAAAGTCTAGTCCTGGCTATACATACCGGTGTTAATGGTAATTTGGAACCGATTAAACCGAATGTAGCACGAAATATACAGAATTTTGTTAAAAATATAATTGAAAATGAAAATGTTAAAGCGTTATTTAGATCAAATAAAAGAAGTTATAATATAAGTAAGTATAATTGTAACATAATAGTTGTCGCCCGCGACTCCGTTCGCTTTTTTTTATATCATAAGGTGGTAACGAGCGAGCGAGCGGTCACCTGAAATCGCTGAAATAGCGAAGTGACCGTTGCCCATAGACATACGCAATTGCATATGCGTTGCTTACCTTTAATCAACGGAGGAGAGGATGCACAGAAAGAAAATATATTCCCTTTCATGCATCCTCTCATCCGGAAAGTCCACTTCCCATCCTTTCCTTATAAGAAAAAGGGTGGGAAGGGAAAGAGGACTAAATTAGGCCTCCGGGACAAAAACTAAATCAACTAAATTAGAAGACTATGTTCTACATCTATGCCAAATTTCAACGAGATCCATGAAGTTGTTCTTAAGATACTTTCTGACAAATATACGTAAATCCAAACATTCGCATTTATAATATTAGTAAGATTAAATATATTTTTTAACATTTTTTTTTTAATTTACTAAAATAATTAGTTAAAAACAAATTTATTGGATCTGTTTTTAGTCACGTAATAATATCAAAATTTGATAAAAGTAAAAGCTGGTAACATTTTAAAATAACTATATTTATTAACTGTCGGTGACTTATATATACATCTTACTAATATTATAAATGCGAATGTTTAGATGTATGTTAGAAGGTATCTCCAGAACGCAGGAACAGATCTTGATGAAATTTGTCATACATATAGAACATAGTCTGGAAGAACACATAGGATATATTAATTTTAGAATCGCGGGTGACAGTATTTTTTTTAGCCCTAAAATTCTAGTTTTTTTTTCTAGAACCCGAAATTGTACATTTTAAAAGTGACAAACCATCTCTTATGTTAGAGGTCAGTTTTGAATCAATAGTAAATGCGATAGACGAGATCTTAAGGTCCAAAAAGGTGAAAGACTACGCGGACACTTTGGGTCACAACGCCGCTATAATATATAGAACTCTATTAGACGAAAGCAGAAAACATGGAAAGACACAAAGAAAATCACTTTAAGAAAAAAAAATCTGAAAAAAAATCGAAAAAAAAATCTTTTTTTTTAAATAAAAGGAACCACATATTGTTTTTTTTTTAATCATTTTATGTACTTGTCTTATATATATCGAATTTATTATTATTTCTTATAACAATTGTTTAAAATTATAAAATAAAATTAACTAAACTAAAAGCTTCAAGCTTAATTTTTCTTAAAATAATTAATTTTCTTAGATACAGTAATAAAATGAGTTTTACTTTGCTTAAAAACTATTTATATACGTATAAAAAATGAATATTTAAAAAAAAATCTAATTTCAGAAAAAAACAAACATACTGAAAAATCTTACATCATAAAAAATATGCATATATCATATTACTAAAATTTTTAAATAAAACAAGACGAAAAAATCTTTTTTCGTATACATCACTATTCGATTATATCATTTTATAATTTCTATATTTAAATTCTGAACTAAAATATACAAAAAATAGTTAGATGACGATATGTCAAAATTTACAATCTGACGGTAACATACAGTTGAAACTGGTTAAGCGAGAAACCGTTTGTACAACAAACTGTTGATGACAAAGACTTAATTAACTACATGTCAAAATGGCAAATATAAATTGTCAAATTCCCAAATAAAAAATATATAATTGTCAAATAAACATAATTACCAAATTGCCAAATATAAATATAATTGGCAGTTGCCAAATATAAATATAATTGGCAATTGCCAAATAATAATATAATAACCAAAAATATAAATATAATTGAGAAATATAAATACAATTGGGGGCGTCCATAAATTAAGTAAGGTGTTTTATTTTTATTTTCTGCCCCTTCCTCCCCACCTGATGTGATGTCGTGAGATTTTATTCAACCCCCTCCCCCAAACCCCAACCTCACGTGAGATTTTTAAAAATGTGACTTTCTTACGTAAACGCGTTGGATTGTTATTATAAAAAGAAAAAAAATAGCGTGATATTTGCCAAGACCTTCCTCTCTCTAACGTAATTAGATGAGATTTGACTTGACCCCCTCCCCCCTTGAACACCTCACGTAATTTATGAATAATTGGCAATTGCCAATTATTAATATAATTGCCGAATAAATATAATTAAATCTCACCTGTTTATTGTAAAGTAAATATATCATCAGCACAATCTGTATAATTGTTACATATAGAACTATCTTTTACAAGTAATTCGTAAATATTTTCATGTTTCTTACCTTTTATATGTTCAATAATAATGTGATATTTATATGGTAATTCTGTATTACATGTCACACAGTTTAATATGTTTTCATTTATCTGCAAAAAAGAAATTAAATATAACTATAATATATACAGGGTGTCCCAAAATGTATAGCGACTTACTTCTATATATATAAAAGAAAGTGGTGTTAGTTACACTATTTATAACTCAAGAACGACTTTACCGATATGCCTGAAAATTGTTGAGGAGGTAGCTTAGAGCCAGGAGACGGACATAGGATACTATTTATTCATTTTTTTTCTTGAATTTATGCCTTGAAGAGCTGCTTTTCATTTAACTTACTAATAATAAGTTTTTTTTATATCCACGAGGACGGAGTCGCGGGCGACAGCTAGTATATATATAAAAATTAATTGCAGTTCGTTAGTCTCGCTAAAACTCGAGAACTGAACGGATTTATCATATCTTGGTCTCGAAATGTTTGTGGAGGTCTAGGGAAGATTTAAAAGGTGAGAAAAATTCTAATAATTGCCGGGAATTTCACCACGCGGACGGAGTCGCGGGCGACAGCAGGTTAATGTTAAAAAAATATGTTTAATTAAAAAAAAAACAATAAATAACATCTCACACGTCTAAATTGTTCCAAAGGTTTTGAGTACAAGGTCGAGTCCGTCTGTGTGCAAATAAAAAAAATAGTAGCCTATATCTTTAAGACTATGCCAAAATGGCGTTCTGGAGATACCTTCTAACAAACATACATCCTTAATCCAAACTCTACCATTTATAAAATACTAGTTATCGCCCGTGACTCCGTATACGTTGAATTAAAAAAAAACTAAGTAGTCTATGTGTTCTTCCAGACTATGTTCTATATGTATGAGAAATTTCATCAAGATTCATGCAGCTGTTCTGGAGATATCTTCTAACAAACATACATCTAAACATTCGCATTTATAATATTAGTAAGAGCTTACCTTTCTTATTAACGCTGGATTGAATTCATTTAAGAAATTATCTTCCAATTTTTCTAAATGACCACAATTATTCGAATGATTTGTCTGTTCGTATGTTTTCAAATCTTTTTGACACAAACAACATTTTATACCGGATTTAGTTTTGAAGAAACCATTCCAAGAATCCCAACTGATTTTCAAAACTCTACCATTATTTATAATAATTTTACTTTTCTTAGAGATTTCTTGGATATTTTTGGAGAATTCATAATAAATACCTATTTTTATTTTAGGCTCTATATATGTTGTGAATAAGATTTCTTTTTGCAAATCAATAGTAATTTGTTTTGTGCCATTTTTTACGTCTGTTTTTCTATTATTTTTGACGATTTTATGGCAAATATCTAATTGTTGTTTATGTATTGGCCATGTTATGTGAAGATTTACTTCTCTATATGTAAACATTATGTTACATAAGGAACAATGGTATGTATGTAGAATCTGTGAATATAAATATATTTTAAAATTGCCAGTTCTATATATAAATATATATTGCCATCTTTTTTTTCTCTTTGACAAAAAAGTGATAGAAATAGGTAGGCATATGCAATTGCGTATGTCTATGGGCAACGGTCACTTAAATATTTCAGCGATTTCAGGTGACCGCTTGCTCGTTTGTCACTAAAGTCGAAAAAATAGTTGCAAATTCGTGTGTTCAAGTGGGATCCAGTAATCTAGTGAGATTCCATTTTGCTGGATTGCAAATGTCCACAATATGAATTAAATTTTTTAAGTTAAAGTAAAGTACAAAAATAAAAAAATTATAATTTTGTTTTTTTTGCACCTTTTATAAGTAATTGAACTGGTTAAATAATCAGTCAGTTAATACTAAGCAAAAGATTTTAATAGAGTTTATATTATTGAAATCTATAGAAAAAAACTACAAAACTACGCGAGATCCATGGATCCCGCTGTAACTAAAACAATTGGAATCTCAACTTGGCTATAGGTTCGAATCCTAATTGAATACTATACAAAATAACAAGTAAAATTTCAAATAAATCTGTCGAAATTAAAAAAAAAATTGAAAAAGTGAAAAAAAAAAATTTTTTTTTGCAAAATTAAAAAAAAAATTGTCTAAAATAAAAAAAAAACTCACCTGTCTAAACAAATGTTTGTCATATTTCTCAAGATATTTATATTTCTTCATATTATCAATATGTTGTCGGCTATCTACATGGTGTTTCAATTTATTAAAATCAATATTTATTGAACACAAGACGCAATATTTATTTTTATTACCAGTTGGTACTAAACTATTGTATGACATCAGTGTTATTCTTGCGAATACATTTTTACGTTTTAAAAAAACTAATTCTTCAACATTAATATAAGTTTCATCGAAAATATCTTTTTCATCAACTATTTCAATGGAGTTTTCATCTTTTTTCATTAAAATTGATTCGTTTTTATCTTTTTCAATTGATTTTTTATCTTTTTTCATTAAAATTGATTCTTTTTTATCTGTTTCAATTGATTTTATATCTTTTTCCATTAAAATTGATTCTTTTTTATCTGTTTCCATTGATTTTTTATCTTTTTTCATTAAAATTGATCCCTTTTTATCTGTTTCAATTGATTTTTTATCTTTTTTCATTAAAATTGATACATTTTGATCTTTTTCAATTGATTTTTTATCTTTTTCCATTAAAATTGATTCGTTTTTATCTTTTTCAATTGAATTTTTATCTTTTTTAATTATAATTGAATCATTTTTCTCAGTTTCAATTACTTTTGGTACATTATTTAAATGTATTTTTTGATTATCAATTTGAAGTTCTTTATTTAATTCTTCAGGCGTGTGATTTTCGCTTGAATTTTCAATGTCCTTGATTATTTTCGTTGTTGGTGACAATATCATTATTTTATTTAATAATTTCACATGATTTTCTTCCATTATATGTGTATTTATTATATTAGGTTGAACAATAATATTACAAATAGCACAATGATAAGTATTTTTTATCTGAAAAAGAAAAATTAGTAGAATCAGAAACGAAAGAAATATGGCGTATGTAAGAGAAAAAAAAATTTTTTTTTTGCAAAAACCCTCTTTTGTTTCCTTTGTAATATTACAAAAAAATATTATCAAAAACTGTTCAGTGGTTTACCATGTATCAATATTTTTTTTGTTCGAAACTTGACAATATTTTTTTAAACCCTTATGTACATTTTGTATAGTATACCATACATACAACTTAATAAAAATATACGATCACTGTAGAATAGTTTTTAACTTATTTTTTTTTCAACACGTTAGCTGCCATGTCGGACTATATGACCGACAAGCTTATGTTTCAATCAGACCGTGTCGGACTATGTGTCCGACAAGCCATACTTCCATTCAACACCTCACTGTGACTTGTCGTACGCTTTTTAATCGAATTGTTGTATACAGCGTGATCCACAAGGCCCCATGTAGCTTATAAACACTTTTTTTCGTTTTCCGAAAAATCATTCTGGCGGCTAACGTGTTAACTTTGTTTTTTTGCTTTTCTTCAAGAAAAATAAATCTTGCCACAAGGGTTAAGGTTTATTCAATTAAAATTTACTTACCAATCTTATTAAATTACAGTTGTATGTCAACATAAAGGGACATCTGTTCATATTTTCTATATGAGAAACTTCTATAATATGTCTTTTAATATCTTCGCAATTTATAGCACAAATACAACAATAATTAGTAATTATCATATTATATGATAAAATAGATAAATTAAATTTAGCACAAAAAATATATAATTCTTTTATATCATTCTGTAAGGAAACTATATTATTTATAGTTTTTCCTTTATTTTCATGATTTTTTTCGATATTTTTTAAATCAGTTGTGTTTAATATATTTTTTTCTGTTAAATTTTTTATTTTTCTCTTTTGATGTCTCTTATTTATATGATCTTCTATATCTATTATTAATTGTAAATTATTACAATTCGCACAATGACATAGTCTATGGTCAACCTGGAAAAAATAATATTTATATTAAGCTTTGTCCCGATACTTCGTCTGTGTGGGATTAAAAAAGCAAATAAATTAGTTTTCCAAACTATTTTCTATATTTATGCTAAATTTAATCAAGATTCTAATTAATTTCGTTCATAAGAACAAACAAAATAAGTAAGCGAAATCGGTAAAGTTACTGTTAGGAAGAAAATCTGGAAATGTGTCAGTGTATTGACTCAACACTAGCCTTACTAATATGTCTACGTTTATGTTCCCTTACTAATCATTCTGACACTAGACTTTGTAACGAAAGCTTGCACCAAAGGATTGTAATTAATGTCTAAAAGTACCAAGATTTTTTACGTGAAAAAAGTACATCCTGTATTTTTCGATAAATTTTTTTTACCGTAGGCTATTATATCCTAAGTATGTGTTATTAATATATATTTAAACTAAGACATAAGCTAATAATTTACACATACTAAGACTAAACCAAACCAAAAAAAAATCTATTAAGATGTAACAACTGAGCAAAAAAATTTGAAAAAATGACCTCAAACATAATTCCTGAAATAAAAAAAAAATAAAAAATCACTCTCTTACCTTCCTTATCAAGAAATCACCATATTTTTTGAGAATTATACATTTTTCCAATTTGGAAAAATGTTCTTCGCTGACACAATGGTCGATTTTCAAACTAATATGACCATCATATTTGCAAACCATGCAATAATATTTATTCGATTTTAATGTCAAAACCATATGCCAAGAATCGAAGCGTACATTCATTTTTTTCCCATCAACTTCTATTTCAATAAATTTAGGTGTAATTTGAGGTTTTTTCGTCATTGACGCGTAAGAAAATGGATTATTTATCTCTTCCATATCTGATATACTTTCATCTGTACTTTCATGATCAGTATCTAGTTTATAAGCATCATAAAATCCACCAAAATCATTATCATTTCCATTATTTATGTTATTAATAGATTTAGCATCAAAATGATAGGAATCTTTATTTTCTTTATGTATATTTAAATCGTACATAATATCAGTCACTCTGTTTACAGCAAACAATAGTTTATCTTCGTGATATTTAGAAGCGAAATGTTCGTTAGATTTTTTCATATCGAAAATTTGGTTACATACACCACAGTGATAATTTTCTTTTAACTAGAAATTAAAAATATGATAAAAAAATAACGATTTTTGGTAGTTTAAAAAAAACCTCCTGAAAAACCCTAACATTTTTAATAACTACAGATCAAAATAGGAACCAAGAAACTATTCAGTCTATTGTTTAGTGAACGATTGAATATTTTTTACAATTTAATAGGTAACATTTGACACTTCATGGAAATTCCACAAAATAATCTTGTATCGGCGTGTGTACATTTTTTTTTGAAAAATTCACAATTTTTTTTTTCATATTTCAATTGCATATTTATAATAATATCAATTGAATGACGTTACAATGTTATATAAGTCTTTTTTTATTTTTAATATTAGGATGTATCAAAACAAACGAACAAAAAACATTTTTTTTTCTGTCTACTCTCACTTAGTACATGCTTGAGTAATCTTATACGTTAAACTAGCTGTCGCCCGCGATTCCGTTCTCGTGGATATATAAAGAAACATCACATCCATCTAAACATTCGCATTTATAATATAAGGAAGTTAAATAAAAAGAAGCTCTTCAAGGCATAAATTCGAAAAATAATAAAAAACAAACAATAAATAGTATCCTATGTCCGTCTCCTGGCTCTACAACTGGCTCTACCTTCTCACCAATTATCAGTCATATCGGTAAAGCCGTTCTTGAGTTATAAATAGTGTAACTAACACGACTTACGACGACGATATATATATAGTAGCTGTCGCCCGCGACTTCGTCCGCGCGGTTTTATAAAATAGATAGTAGCCGATTCTCAGAGCTACTCAATATGCTCACAAAATTTCATGAGAATCGGTCAAGCCGTTTCGGAGGAGTATGGGTACGAAAATTGTGAAACGAGAATTTTATATATAAGATATATATAGTCTTAGGGATAAATACAGATGTCACTTACCTTTCTAATAATACACAAATCATATCTACACAACGGCACATTACATTTCAAATTATTCAAATGCTCTTCATTATTTATGTGATCTTGGTAGTCCATTTCGAAATCAATCTCGCAAACACCACAATAACCCCTTCCATCGTCAAAACTCACTATCGTATGGTAATTTCGATCGGATAAATATACGTTCGAGTTTATAATCACACCGTTAGGCACTTTTTGTATACCTAAGGATAACGGTGTGCTAGATGAAGCTTCTGAAATAATAAAAAAAAAATATTTTTTTTTACAAAAAAAATTTAAGGACACATTTCCAACTTTGATCTTATTCAACTTTTTGTCTGGGCGTGAAAAACTAAAAAAAATCTCATTCATCCAAAATATTTTTTTTCTACTTGTACTGATTTTACAACTCACGGATACACGCCTAAAGTAACAGTTCGTAAACTTTGCGTCTAAAAAAAAAAACAAAAAAATATTTTTTCTTACCACTTTCTTCTGCTACATCTGTAGACATAGATGCATCCGCCATCTTAGAATCGCTTGTTTCGAAATTTAAATACGAGTTATCGTTAAATTGTTTCTCATTGAATATTTTTCCATTTATATCATATTTGTCATTAAAATTTATGTCGAGTAGTTTGTTATCTTCCTTGATAGAAATGTCCTTCGAATTTGATTTCTCAAAGGCAGAATTTTTATTATCTTCAATAACATCGTTATGGGATCCTGTATTCGACATTCTGAAAAATAAAAAAAAATGCGTAAAAAAATTTTTTTTTCTTAAAAAAAACTGGTATTTTCTTATGATGCCGAGGAATTTCAAGGTCACTGTTTAAAAACTAAAAATATTAGCTTAATTAGGTTATAGGATACAGTGGAAAAGACATACAAACAAAGCTAACACTAGAGAAACTTAAAAAAAAACTTTAAAAAATCCAATCTAAGAATTTAAAAAAAATCAAAAAATTCCAAAATAATCTTTTAGATGAGCATTTCTTTTAATTTTAAACAAAATGACAAAAAATTTAGTTTTATCAAAAAAATATTTTTTTTTATTTTGTGACAAAAATAAAAAAAAAAAATTTTGTCACAAATTCAAGTCAAAATATATGTATATTTTCTAAATAAAAATGTCTTCAATATTTGTAGCAATGAAATCCCACAATAAAACTTACCAAATACATCACAAATAATTAAAAAAAACTATAGTAGAACAATAAATTAAACCTCACATTTGAAATACTTTTAAATAACTGACAGTTAAAAACATTTTTTCATTTTTTATACACAATTCATTATTTATGTAATTAATTAATGGCCAGATTACACTTATTACTAAATAAATATAATAAAAAAATCAACAGATAGTTTTTAATAAGGCAAATATCATTATTCCAAAATGGCTGATGCAATAAAACAAAAAGTTAGCAAAAAAAAATTGTTAATAAAAACTTAACACCCTGTAACCCGATGCCCCAGAAAAAAACAAACACTCATAAAATTGTTTAGTCTGTGGTAGGTGATAACTCCGAGCCATTATTGTTATTCTGCCCGCTTCCCTTCATAGAGTTAACACATTCTTCCGAGCATCTCCATTAGCCATATTTAAATTCACATACACATATCTTTTTTCAAACAATACCTTTGTAACGATTTAATCTTATTCCTTATTATGAGTTCATCTCTTCAAACATATGCATAACTTTTTACTCATATTCTTCATCATTAGCAATTACTTTCAAACTTTACTTTCTTCTAGTGACATATTTATGTGTTTTATTCAGTTAATTTTTGGTAAGTTGGTTTAAATATATTTTTTTATATAATACCAACATAACTTTGGAAGTCAAAATTTGGTATGTATTATAAAACATGTTAAATTTTATTTATTTTACGTAACGTACGTATTGTTAGTTTCTAAGGCAAACTTATAAAGCATCTCTTAATATTAATTATTATTATTATTCTAGCAATTTTTTAACATTCAAGCTTTTGATACAAAATATCATGTAGTCTTAAGTTGGTTTGCACAATTGTAATACGATATTATAAAGTAAAATATACATACTCAAAATTGATGAAAACTGCATAAAATTTTGAAAGTGCGACGTACAACACGATTGCAATAACGCCAGTACAAAAATAAATGCAATTATCATAAACTACCGACATAATAAACAGAATATAATCCTATAAGAATTACTTTAAACGCAACGCATAGCAAATAAATAGCAAAGTTTTCGATGGCTTACTCGTATAAATGTTGAAAATTAACACAACAAAGATGAAAGAAACGGACGGCGGAATTCCCGAGCGAACACAAATGTAATGTTGCCAGCACCTCTATATTACTTTGTGCCGAAAATAATAACTGCGTCTTATTTTAATTTACCAACTTTCATTTGAAACATATTCAAACATAAAACCAAATATACTCTTTGCATAAATCTAACTAGGTTTGTTATTAGCATTAATTTTTTAATTGAAATAAAATAAAGAAAAACCTTTTAATAAGTACAAATAGTTATGCTTTTATGAATTCTTATTAAGTAAATGCAATTTCAAACTCTATTCCCTCTTAAAAACTGCTCAAAACAGGGGGCGAAGGTTGAACTGCGTCTTATTTTAATTTATCGACTTTCATATGTTCTAGTATTCAAACATAAAACCAAATATACTCTTTGCATAAATCTAACTAGGTTTGTTATTAGCATTAATTTTTTAATTAAAATAAAATTAAGAAAAAACCTTTTGAAAAGTACAAAGATTTATGCTTTTATGAATTCTTATTAAGTAAATGCAATTTCAAACTCTATTCCCTCTTAAAAACTGCTCAAAACAGGGGGCGAAGGCACTAGCAAGCATCAGAGTTACCAGTAGTAAAAATAATTAAAAAAAGGTTGTGTAAATTTTATTTTATTAAAAACTAATTTGAGCTTTTTTCTTTTGAGGTGATTTCGATGAAGAGTTTGGAGGTTCCAAGGAATTTTTAATATAAAACACCAAACATCAATAAATTATCTTAAGCTTTCAAATCAGAAAATCTCTGTGCAGATTTTAGAATCTGTAATATACGTCAGCATCAAATGTCAAATTTAGTCAACAACTTGTCGATAACAACAATATCAATGTCACTTGGACTTTGATGCACTTTAGCGGGCAAAAGTAAAACAAATCGAGTTCTTGGTGAAAAAAACTAGATACTGATTAATTAATTCATTATTTTACGGGTTAAGTTTTTGAAAAATGAAGAAGTGCCAAAGTTCATTTGATAAAATAATTGAGGAAATACCAGGTAAAAATCGTTTATAACTAAAGTGACTATAATTAAATCATTTCACATTTTACTCATACATATTGTCACCTCTTACATTCTCTTTGGTTAATAGATACAACAAACATTGAATATCCAAATGTTTTGTCTTCAAACTGCTTTTTTTTTTAAAAAAAACAAAAGTTAAAATTATAAAAATCAATTTTATCCAATAGAAGTTTCTTAATACAATAGATAGAATTTATATAAAAAATACATTAACAAAAACAACAAAATTATCTGGTTCAGTAGACATAAGCAGAACTTAAATATGGCTGTGCCCCCATCATTAATAAAAAACAATATTATGACTGTGTCACGGTAGACTACAGCTATAACATCTACATAAATGGGCATTGCCCACTGGAATACAACTACACAGAAGTCAGCCATGAAGTGGAAGTAATTTTACATACAGTCTTAGTGTGTGTACTTGTAGTTCTCATTCCTTTCACACTATTTCTTATGAAAGGAAAGAGGAAGGTGATTTGATGGTATCGGAGATGTATAGGAAGGTAAATTATCTCTTCCTGTGGGTCTCCACCGTTGTCTTCAATGTCTATGGGTAACACTTCACTGTTTCAACGAATTCAAATGGCCGCTTGCGCATTTGCCACCTTATAATTTAAAAAACATTACAGGTATAGCAGTGGATAATTTTGAAGGCCGACATTTGAATTCTCGTGCTTTTTTTCTGAGTCATTACCACATGGATCATATTCAAGGCTTAAATTCGTGCCAATTGGCAAATCACTTGAGAGAAACTAACGCTTTTATTTACACATCTGAAATTACTGCATCAATTATAAATCATGAAATGAAATGTTCTGATATTTTGAGATATGTGAAAGCGTTAGGACGAGGTGAGTTTGTTACAGTTTTTTATGCATGTAGTCAAGGATTTAAATATCCTACCCACTTCAATGATTCATATCATCATAATGCTTAAGTCAGTACACAACAAACTATGGCGACAGTTTTAGCTATGGGTATCTGTGAATAAAATCTCTGTTTTGTGAAAGGTTTTATACAGAGATGTTGTGTCAGAAACATGTCGATAGTGAACCTCCATCTAAGGTGTTAGGGGATGTCCCATACTACGTGACCCGTTGGGGTGGGGGAGCGGAGTCTTTAAAATTCTATGGTCAGTCACAGGAGCGGGGAGGGCTCAGGTTTTTGTGACGTAGGCGTTGCTTTCATAATACATTATTCACTAGTAATTTAAGTATGCATACAGTCTTGAAAAAACTTAGAAAAAACTAAAAAAATAAGTCACGTAGTATGGGTATGTTCCCTTACCTGGAGAGGAATATTTGAAAAAAAATTATAAGAATACTATTGGCTTGTAAAAAATAAATGAATATGAAAGTAGCAATAGTGTTCTTTTAAAGTATTATTTATTATACTTAAGTATTTTTATCCATGTTTTAATTGACTTCACAATATGGCGACTTTCCATCCACATTCTTATACATGAGTTTGAATCGTTTTTTAACAAGCTTTTGATATGCTTAACCACACTTATTTAAAAATATTAATAAAAAACAATTGATTATTATAAAAACTGAATATATATTACAGAAACTACATTAATTACTCTGCCCAGTATGCCAGAGATGGATTTAGAGGAATTGTTTGTAGAAGTTACATTGATTCCCGCAGGGCACTCATTTGGGTCCACGATGTTTTTATTCAAGACAACAGAAAAAACTGTCTTGTATACTGGTGATTTTAGGATAAGGTGATTGTTTTTTTTATTCAATATTAATAGGGTAGGCAACATAACGTCTTTGTTTGTTATAGGAAGGGGAATCTTTAAAAGTTAACCTTCCTTTGGAGTGGAAAGATAGATCTAAGTATAACTTGAGTCACTCACTCTTCGGCAGCTTTCCTTCAGTTCAACTAGTGAAAATCCTGGGATCTCCATTTTTTTAGCGCCCCTAAATATGGGGACTCATAGAATATATTTCCACTTTCTATTAGTACCCTCTACTATAGTGTGTCTATTTAAGATAGATTAGTTTGACAACTGACGCCTATAAAATATCTAATTAATTTTGTATGTAGATTAATGTTGTACTTAATGGACGGTTTTCATAGTGTCGGAGTGTACGCGTATTACGAACTATGAACTATCGAGAATCGGTCTTATGTTAATTTTAATTGAACAAAAAATACTAAAACTTACTTATTTCGTTACTTTTTGAATTTATAACAGATATTTAGCTATGTCTCGTGCTATTAACTAAAAAAAAACGTCAAAAACAGTTTTTTTTTGGTTGCCTAAAATCTCAATTTTTTTGGTTTAATTTTACCTATTAGTTTTGAGGAATAAAGTTGGCGAAGAAATTTTCGATTGCAAGTTCTATGAGAACATCCATCGAAAATCGATCATTTTCATAAACCGATTTTAATCAACCCATATCTAGTGAATTGTCAAACTAATCTATATCTTAAATAGACATACTGTAAGTCCATTTTGAAAGCAACCAATGTTATGTTTAGGATAAACGATATATCAAAATATGGTAACCTGCATAAAAACGATGATCCAATTCATATTGATGCTATGTATATCGATACGACATTTTTCAAAGAGAAATATGATGATTTTGCAAAAAGAACGGACACAGTTGATACTGTTATAGATGAGATCTCTAAATGGCTTAAGAAAGACAAAGAAAATGCAGTTTCTATATTTATGTACGCTAATTACACATTTGAATTCTTATTAAATAAAATATATCAAAAGTTAAATATGAAAGTTTATATAAATGACCATAAATGGGATTTTTACAGGTAAAAATGTTTTATATTATTTTATTTCAATACTAGCTGTCGCTCGGGACTCCGTCCGCGAGAAATGAAGAAAAACACTTAATAAGTTCCTAATAATTATTAGATTTTTTCTCACCTTTTAAGCCTTCTCTAGACCTCCACGAACATTACAAGACCAAGATAAGATAAATCCGTTCATCCAATCTCGAGTTTTAGAGAGACTAAGGAAAAAAAATCCCCGTTTTTGCAACATATCTCACTGACGCTTCGCTTCTATTGGTCGCAGCGTAATGTTATATAGCCTAAAGCCATCCTCTATAAATGGAATGGGTTGACCGACGACGTGTCGCCATCGCACACCGCTCGCTTCAACCAACTTCGTGCGGTTTAAGAAACGGAGCAATTTAGCGTCCTCGGAATTCTTTTCGGGGACACCGGGACTCGTAAGTAAAAGGGACAGTCCCGTTCATAACGAGACGTCTGGTCACGTTAGGCATAAGTCATGTTGAGTTTGCTATTGTTTGCATATGACGGACACGCGACAGCTAATCTATATCTATATACTAATATTATAAAAAGGAAAAGTTTGTTTGTTTAAACGCGCTAATCTCAGGAACTATTGGTCCCATTTGAAATTTTTTTTTTGGATAGTCCATTTATAGAGGCTGTACGGTATATAACATTACGCTGCGACCAATAGTTTTTTTTAATTACGTACGAACGGATTCGCGACATTTATAATATTATAAAGATTATATGTATTCTTCCAGCAAAATCCAACATCTTGTACCGAGTGTTACAAATGATCCTGAAGATTGTAGAATACATCTATGTAGAAGTAAATTTGAATTTAAAAATCATATAAATTGTATACCTTATGATTATTTTAAACAATATCTTCATATACATTTGACAGCTCAGAAATGGGACGGTTATAATATAAACGAATCACCAATAGTTAGAAGATCGAATACCTCATTTGATGCGTGTTTTTCAACGCATTGTTCTAGAAATGAGATACTGTATTTCGTTTCATATTTCAATCCGTCTAAAGTTGTTGGTTTCCCAAATGATTATGTGAAACCTGATGATGGAAGTGATGAGGAATTTGTTTTGACACCGAAACGTTCAATGAGAAAGAGACAGAACGATGTATCGGAAGAAAGTCTGAATAAAGTCAAAAATATATTATAAATATGCGTCCCGGAGACCTAATTTAGTCCTTACCCTTCCAACCTTTTTTCTCATAAGGAAAGGATGGGAAGTGGAAGTGGACTTTCCGGATGAGAGGATGCATGGAAAGAGAAAGAGTGGTAGAACCCGCTTTAACATCTTCGCACGAATTGGCCAGGTTCGCCCGGTGAAATACCACCACCACACAGAAAAAAGGCGTGAAGTGGAAGAAATTCCGCGTTTCGTCTGATGAGTGTGCGTCCCGGAGGCCTAATTTAGTCCTCTTTCCCTTCCCACCCTTTTCTTATTAGGGAAGGATGGGAAGTGGAAGTGGACTTTCCGGATCCTCTCATCCGGAAAGTCCACTTCCACTTCCCATTCTTTCATTATAAGAAAAAGGGTAGGAAGGAAAAAGACGTATAGTGAGCTGATGATGAAGAGGTCTTAGTTTCACAGAGGATAAATGTATTATTACAACAAGAAGGAAGAAAGAACAAATGTAAATGAAAAAAAGTTGCCATATATGTATTAGGGTTGCCAATTCGATGAAAAAATTCAAGCGATGTCAAAAACTGTTATATTTTTTAAAATGTCGAGAATTTCTTTTCCAGTCAGACTGGTATTGTTTGTCAAAATTTTAGGAATAATTAATTGGCAAGACTGTGATGAGACTGATAAAAAACCAAAGAAAGATACAGAAAGAAAGTTGTTGATTTAAAAACTTGTTTGACTCGGTGGGCATTAGTTAAAAAATAGTCATTGACGTTTAGTCGAAACTAATATTGTTTGCTTGCGGTTCGTACACACAACGTTGATGTGACGCGAGTCTGACACACACAGACGTGTCAACTGTGTTTGCTCCGCCATCTTGAATATTGCAGCCATTTTTTCGCGGCTATTTTGACAGATAGAAAGATCTATATGTTGCCAACGCATGCTTATGTATATTCTATGATATTGTTTTGTCCTTAGCGACTAAAATTAGGTTTCATAGATTTGAGTTGCCTAGTGTACAAAGTATGTTTTATATTGTTCAAAAACAATTAAAAATATATAATATTTTTAAGAAAACGCAGACATAGTCGTGAGTTTTCAACTAGTCTTAAGTATGGTGCTTATAATAATCTGAATAAAATGATTTGTAAGGGACTTTAAGTGTTGTTTTATTTAGTCCTAAGTCATATACTAAAGGTCCGTTTACATACAATGGGGCAGAGAATGGAGCAAATAAAATAAAGATTTATACTATTGTAACAATTTGATTATTAACATTAAAGACTTTTAAGTTAAGTCTTGATAAAAATACGTAAAAAGTAAAACTTAACTTATCGTGTTTATGTTTTTTTATACTGAATAAACCTGTGCTCGACCACAAACAGATACACATATCACATATGAGGGATTCTCTTCCGGATGGGAAGCATACGCACTAAACCCTTCTGTTCCTCCTACGCATCATGACGAGGCCACGGGTACGCTTGCGCTTTCGTCCGCGACCTCGCCTGCGTCAGCTGTCGAAGCAGTTCCCATTTTCGGGGAGGGCCTACCTTCAGCCTCAGGCGCTGGATCCCCCCGTATCCAGCGCCCTAGGGCTGTTGTGGGAGGCGAGGGCGGCGATATATTGCCGCTTTCGCCTCTCCACTCGTTTGCAGCGGTGCGGGTGCGCTAGGGGGTCGCCTTCGCGCTCCCCTTTCTGTGACTCCTTCTGCGAAATCCCCACTTCGCAAAAGGCGGCGACGGCTTCCCAGGACCTCTCACTTCCCAGCATAGCGTGTATAACACCAGGGAGTAAGAGGTCAGTCACCTATTAATCATACTCTTGAAGATACCCACGTATAACTTGGTGGAAACTATGATGTCAGCAACAAAAAATATGCTTTCCGCCACGGTCTGTGTAAACGGGCCTTAAAAGAACACTGACTAATTAACGTTAATTAGCTATAAAAGAAAACGATTAATTTTAAAGCTTCTGTTTGGATTTTGAAAGTAATTTCATTACCAAAACGATGGCTATAGTCGTTACCATCTTGTTGTTAAATTTAGTAATACGTAAGTTAAAAACCTAATAATATTAATTTTACTAAATATTAGCTGTCGCCCGTGACTCCGTCCGCGCGGAATTAACATAACAATTAGTAGCCTATGTGTTCTTCCAGACTACGACTATAGTATGGCAAATTTCATCGTAATCCATCCATCCATCCATCTAAACATTTGCATTTATAATATTAGTAAAATTAAAAAGCAAAACTGACGTGTGTGTATGCGTAGATGTATGAATGAGGATGCGAGAAAAGTTCCGTAGTCTCTGCCTACACCGATGGGTTACGGGCGCGAATTGTGTTGTTATGGACAGTATATGTTGTCCGAGCGGTATTAAAATAAAGATTAGTCTATGTGTTCTTCCAGACTATGTTCTACATCTATGACAAATTTCAGCGAGATCCATGCAGCAGTTCTAGTGATACCTTCTAACAAACATCCATCCATCTAAACTTTTGCATTTATAATATTAGTAATCTAGGCGTTCATTTGACATTTGTATAATAACATATTGCCGTCATATATAATCTAGTTTTTGGTTCTATTTCTAGATTGTCAAGCACAAACAAAGAAATATGTAGAAAGAATGTAAGTATATAAATAAATTAGAAAATACTAATAATATAAAGTCTTTCTTATATCTTAATTTACTTTGTTACATTTATAATTCTTTTTCAGCCCACCATCAAAATATTCAAACCCAAATTTCGTCAGGGATCGACTAAAAAGTATTTTTTTATTTACTTATTGTTCTACTAGCTGTCGCTCGCGACTCAGTCCGCGTGGAATTACTAAAACATAATAAGCCTGTGTGCTAGACTATGTTCTATATGTATGACAAATTTCATCTAGATCCGTTTAGCTGTACCGGAGATAGTTTCTAACAAACATCCATTTAAACATTCGCATTTATAATAATGTCTAGTACGAATATAAACTGTACAAGTTTACAATTATTCGGTGACTCTTTTTGACAGTGACATTTGACGTTTAATTTTGACATATAAAAGTGGAATTCTATGGTGTGTGCTTCTGCAGACATTACTATTTGGTCCAACATTCCTGAATCCAGTCCCATTGACACCCATCTTATAAATTTTAATTTCTTATTTGATATGAAAAATGCGTCAAACTGTCTTACAGCTCTAATCATACTATCATACTAATATTATAAATGCGAATGTTTGGATAGATGGATGTTTGTTTAAACGTATCTCCGGAACCCCTGAACGGAACAAACTAAAATTTGGGATAGATGTAGAACCATAGTCTGGATGAACACATAGACTACTTAATTCCGTACGGACGGAGTCGCGGTCGACAGTTGAGTTAATAATTGAGTAATTCTCACTCGTCTACTAAATACATTGTTCATTTCAGATATAATAATTAAGCCATTTGTTAATGAGACATGGCAAAATCGATTCGATAAACCCTTCCATCCAGCTTGGATGGATTACTGTGACCCATACCATTGTAATGATTATCATAAAACAGCCTGCGGATTGAATCGAAAAAGGATGAGATTCAAATGGTTTCAAAGTGGATGTCATATAGCTTTGAATAACTTATGCGCGGCGTATCGCGGAAATCTTAGTACGTATTGAGGTTATCTTTCTAAATAGGTTTTTTTTTTATAAATTAAGATTGAGTTGTGATAAGGTGTGCATCCCATGAGGTCTAGTTTTAATCCTTTAGGAAGGGAAAATATTCTCTTTCTGTGCATCCTCTCCTCCGTTGATTTAAGGTAGGCAATGCAGCAATTGCGTATGTCTATGGGCAATGGTCGCTTTTCTATTTCAGCGATTTCAGATGTCCGCTCGCTAGTTTGCTGTCTTATGATATAAAAAAGCGGTGGTAATGGTTTTATATCTCTAAAATAGTGACTTGACTGCCCATATATTGTAACAAGTATTTATAAATGCGACCTTTGATCGAAACAGGACGAACAGTAATAGGATATTTCCCCTTTTATAGGTTTCATTTTCCCGACAATTCTACTTCATCTTCCCATTTCTTATCAAAATTGTTCTTCTCGTCATTTGACGTCTGACTGATACAGAGACAGTGATATCAGCTATACGTCCCGACTGAGGTTCTTGGAGTCTACCGCAAGTTAGACTGGGTTTTAGTGAATTTCTGACCAAAATCATCATTTAAAACATATCGTTATCAATACAAGGACGTTTTATACAGAGATTTTCGTCTCAGAAACTAACCGTTAGTCAATTCATTTCAGAATACGATATGATAGAAGCAAAATTTTGTATTCATTACACGATATTTTTAAGATCTGGTTGTCCAGCCAGTTGTAGTGATGATGATATTAAACCAGTTTGTGCGGTCAGCAGTATTGATAATCATGTTGTTCTTTTTAAAAATATTTGCGCTTTAGACACAGCGAATTGTCGTCAAGGTGTCTTACAAGGTAAGTTGACATACTTACTAATATTATAGTGTAGAGCCCGCTTTAACATCTTCGCACGTATTGTCCCGACTCGCTCAGTGAAATACCACGACCACACAGAAGACAGGCGTCAAGTGGAAGCAATTCCGCGTTTCGTTTGATAAGTGTGCGTCCCGGAGGCCTAATTTAGTCATCTCCCTTCCCACCCTTTTTCTTATAAGGAAAGGATGGGAAGTGGAAGTGGACTTTCCGGATGAGAGGATGCATGGAAAGGGAAGATATTTTCTTTCTGTGCATCCTCTTCTCCGTGGATTAAAGGCAGGCAACGCATATGCAATTGCGTATGTCTATGGGCAACGGTCACTTCGCTATTTCAGCGATTTCAGGTGGCAGCTCGCTCGTTTGCCACCTTATGATATAAAAAAAAGACGGATGTTTGTTTGAAATCTCCGGAACGGGTGAACGGTTCTCATTTAAATTTGTCATAGATGTAGAACATAGTCTGCAATTACACATAGACTTATTTTTATTAATTCCGCCCGGATGAAGTCGCGGACAGCTAGCAACAGTTAATTTGGTGGCAACAGAGCCGCCAAGATATTTGAAAACATTTATACCACTTTTATAAGGAATTTGCGTTTTGTTTTTTATAAGATCGGATTACTATTTTTTTATTTTTTTTTATTTCAGAATACGAACGTGTACATATAAATATATGTGCTAATTACCTTTAAACCAAAAATATATAACGTCTCTGCAGTTTGTATATAAAAATATTCACATAAAAGTTATGTTATCCCAGTTTTTTTAATGTAAATATTTTCGATATTGTAAGCTCACGGTTGGTAGAAAGAATAAATAAAACCTATTCACAATTTTGTGTTTTATTATTAATAAAGAATTGAATTATCTACCGCCTAAAGTTCATCGTACACTAGGCAAAGTTGTAGTCGATGAGTGACTACGCAATTCATATTCGTCAAGTTTGTACTTTAGTCGACAAAAGTCGCTTGTATCCTGTGCAGCATCACGATGTTATCCTTTCAAGAACGTCGGAAATTAACCGGTATGACTATCCATACTAATATTATAAAGCGGACGAGTTTGTCTGTTTGTTTAAACGCGCTAATCTCAGGAACTACTGATCCGATTTCAAAAATACTTTTTTTGTTGGATAGCCCATTTATAGAGGAAGGCTTTATGATATATAACATCACGCTGCGACCAATAGGAGCGAAGCGTCAGTGAAAAATGTTGCAAAAACGGGGAAAATTATTTCCATTTGAGGACTTTTGTTACAGAACACATAGGCTATCAATTAAGTTTTTTTGGTGACAGCTAGTAAATTAATAATTTCAAACGGGTAAAGTCGTAGGCGTTAGCTACTACATCAATATTAAGGTAATTTTTATCGCAGTTTTGTTTTGAACATGATTTTGTTGATTAACGCTTGGATTAAAACTTTAATCCAACATCGTAGAAACCTAAACACAATGAAAATCTAACTTAACATGAAGACCTTCATTATTATTTTATTAAGTAAGTTTTGTTAATATACAATATTTAAAAATCAATATTTTTTTACTATTATAATACCTTTTTAATATAAGGTTGCAAATGAACAAGCGGTCACTTGAATTTCTTGAATAGCGAAGTGCACGCTATCTATAGACAATTCGCATTTGCTTTTATACATAAACTAATAAAGAAAGATTTCTTTTCAGTTGTCGTTACAATAAAATGTATCTCCAATAATCTTTTTTAATCATAAGGTGGTAAACAAGCGAGCGGCCACCTGAAATCGCTGAAATAGCGAAGTGACCGTTGCCCATAGACATACGCAATTGCATATGCGTTGCCTACCTTTAATCGACGGAGAGGATGCACAGAAAGAAAATATCTTCCCTTTCCATGCATCCTCTCATTCGGAAAATCCACTTCCACTTCCCATCCTTTCCTTATAAGAAAAAGACTGGGAAGAGAAAGAGGACTAAATTGGACCTAGAAACTGATCCAGTAATCACTGGCAGTTAAAAATTATTTCGTTTTTTATAATCTATTTCAGCTCTCATAAACAACGTCTTGAGCCCAACACCGTCGGTGAAAGAACGTATCGCAATACTGAAAAGTAAATTACTTAACGATGGACATGCATCTCACCCATCAATATTCAATTACTATGATGAAGCAAGTGACGATTATGAAAATCATGATTTCCTTATCGAGCCAATAACAAGAAATAGAGCAAATAAGAAGTATAAATTTAAAACTAAAACAACACAAATAACAAACGTAACAAAACAAAGTAATCCACAAGCGAAACGTCAAGGATTAAAACCTTTTTTAAAATCACAAGCGAATACAAAGAAAAAAGAGAAATTATTTCTTAATCCGATGGATATTTTCTATAGAAGGCTTATAGGGGAACAGTATAAAGACGAAAATTGGAGATGGACGTTATGCCAAGATATAATAACACCTTTTTTAACTGGTGTAAAGAAAGGTCCGATGGAAATGACTAAAATAGGAATTAAACATGCAATACCGGAAAGGTATTATTTTTAATTTAATATGGCATATTGCCTTCTTTTCGGCGCAAAAGACGATGCGCAGAAAGAGGATATTTCTCCTTCCCATCTTTCTAATATAATTGCTCAAGTTTAGATGGATAAATAAGAAGATATCTGCAGAACGATTGCATGGATAGTCTGGAAGAACACACTTCTATTTTTTTTTTGTAAATCGGGGCAAACGGAATTTCTGGCGACAGCTTGTTTTCTTTTTTTTTATAGGAGAAGGGGGCAAACGAGCATCGAATCGCCTAATAATATTTGATCCGACGCCCATGGACATCCGCAACGCCAGAGGAACCGCAGATGCGTTGCCGGCCTTTAAGGAAGGTGTACGCTCTTTTCTTGAAGGCCGTAGTCTTTTTTTAAAGTAGTAAATGTTTGGAAATACCGCTGAGGACAATGTATTCCACAACGCGGCTGTGCGAGGTAAAAAGTTACGCGAAAATCTCGTCGTTGTGGAATACCAGCCATCGAGATGGCTTACAAGAAAAGTATGGGAAGAGAACGTGGACTAAAATTAATCCACCGCCGCGCACTCTCATCAGACGAAACGTGGCATTGCTTCCACTTGACGGCTAAACGGAAAAATATTGTTGAATGCTCTAAGTAGTACTGTTAAAATGAGATAAACATATGAATTAATAACTGGAAGGAGTAATTAGGACTGTCGTTTGACATATATGTCTTTTGTTTTTGGTGTGTGGTTCCAATTCACTCGATTTTTTGTGTTTACTAAGTTTTATGTTTGATCTTTGACTCAATTTTTCGATAATAAGCAGATCAAACAGTTTTACACATAGCTTAAATTAATATAATCAATATCAACCTATTGTACTCCATCCATACATCTCTGTAAGCTGTCATATTTGAATTCCCTTCTTACGCACATCTTTCACACAATAAGGACATTCTTTAGTCTTACTCTACCTTTGTAGAAGTTAAAAAATTAATTTGTTTCAGAATGTTCCATTTATTAAGCATTAACATGAGCGCATACGCTAAAGAGGATGTGTTCGCGTTGATGTATCAGATAAGCAAGGTACAAATTCGACTCTACCAATGGGATGTAATGCCGATAAGGGTCTTGATAAATTTACTAGTAAAAGGTAATAAAAAAAATCAAGTAATATTATAGTTCTACTAGTCAAACCATTTCGTTTGATACCCATATTGAACAAAAATATGTGTATTTTGTAACGGCAATCTTAGATTTTTTTTTGTGGAAATACTAAATACGGCTCTATGTCATCAACCATCGTCATATAACAGTGGTAGAGCCCGCTTTAACATCTTCGCACGAATCAGCCCCGCTCGCCCGGTGAAATACCACGACCACACAGAAGACGGGCGAAGTGAAGTGGAAGCAATTCCGCGTTTCGTTTGATGAGTGTGCGTCCCGGAGGCCTAATTTAGTCCTCTTTCCCTTCCCATCCTTTTCTTTATAAGGAAAGAATGGGAAGTGGAAGTGGACTTTCCGGATGAGAGGATGCATGGAAAGGGAAGATATTTTCTTTCTGTGCATCCTCTCCTCCATTGATTAAAGGTAGGCAACGCATATGCAATTGCGTATGTCTATGGGCAATGGTCACTTCGCTATTTCAGCGATTTCAGGTGACCGCTCGCTCGTTTGCCACCTTATGATATAAAAAAAAACCTGCCCTTATCCCTATCGAGGGTCGGCACAGTATGTACTACGTCATACGTCTCTATCAGCCGTCATATCCGAGTCTACCCACTTCCTACGCATATCCTCTTTTACACAGTTATTCCATACTTTTAAATGCGGCTCTATGTATCCTTTGTTATCCTACATTCTATACCTCTCCAAACCTATAGAAACGCCAGAACGCAATTAACAGTTTGCATCTTACGAATATTATAAATGCGGAAGTTCAGAATGATGGATAGATGTTTGTTTGAAAATATCTCCGAAACGACTTAACGGATTTCGATGAAATATCGCATACATATAGAACATAATCTGGAAGAACACATAGACTACTTATTTAGTTTTAATCCGCACGTACAGAGCTGAGGGCTACAGCTTGTATCAAATAATTACAGGAAAGGCGCATACTTTTCGTAATTTAAAAGCAAGCATGAGAGAAATGTTTGAAAATTGGCATTTAGATTTTCGTAATTTGACGAAAATAATTGAACAAACTCGTATTATACGACCAGCTTGTACCGTAACATCGCAATATACAGGTAAATTAAATATCTATATTAATATTATAACCTAGAAATCATCTCCCAGTCTCCTGACTCATTTGGGGGCTAACCTAACCTATACCTTATTCCAGTCTTCACTCCCTTTTTGATCATGTCACTTTATATACCATATTTCAATATTTATAATAACTAAAGACCTTCGTACACAAGGCAACGTAAATTTTCAAAACTAATCTTTACTAATATTATAAAGCGGAAGAGTTTGTTTGTTTAAACGCGCAAATCTCAGGAACTACTGGTTCGATTTGAATTTTTTTTGTTGGATAGTCCATTTATAGAGGAAGGCTTTAGGCTATATAACATTACTGTGACCAATACTTATTTTTAATTCCGCGCGGACGGAGTCTCGGGCGACAGCTGGTAGAGTAGAGCGTTAGTACGTCATTGAACTTCATACACATAACCTTGAATATATGCGTCAATTGGCTCGTAGAAGCACCGCAGATACGGATTGAACGGGTTTCCTTTGTCTAAACGCGTGGATGGACGCAGCGGTATATCATGGAAAGTAAACTAAATATGTCGCAGGCCAATGGACGCATACTTTTAATCGTTGACGGGAGTCGTCTATTCGTTCAGTACAGACATAGCAACTATATGTCAACTGTACTTGCTCCGCCATATTGAGAATTACAGCGACTTATCTCGCGATGATATTGACAAACAGTTTTCTGTCTTTGGGAATGACAGATAGAAATGTCAAAACGCGCTGTCTACCTTTATGACATTTCAATGGGTGATTCGCTAATTTACTAAAATGGCCAGTATTAGAATATTTACGATGCCTTGGATTATTAGAGCTTGTAATTAAAATTTACTTTTTTAATACAGGTTCAACGAAAACTGCCAAAGTGTCAAGATATAAACAATTTACGACAACGCCAAATTCTTAGTTTCAGCCTGACCACTTTACAACTATTGTAAAAAATTTGTTACTGTGTGTTTCCAATAAATGTTCTATACGCGCCATTTTGTGACGTCATAGCTCTCAAATCCAATAAAAGTAGAGTAAACAAAACAGATATTGTTAAAGTAGTTTAATTTTTTTCTTTCAATCGATGTTTTTTTAAATCGATCACATTGAATTCATTTTATTTGAAACGCATAAAAAACAATAATAAAAAATATGGATTGTTTCAAAATGAAAAGCTACTATTTAATTTAGTTCCCCGTCTTTAATTTTTCCTTATGATCCTTCTGTCAAACGCTTGTATTTTTATTAACATTACTTAGGCCACAGATTATATAAAGAATAGACAACTTTTAATTCAGACCACAAAAGTCAGTAAAAAGGCTTCCCTTTGCCTTTTGAACAGATGAATTTCCTCAGTGTTTTAATCTATAATATAAAAATTAAGCTCTAAATGTGTTGGTAAGCGCATAACTCAACAACGCCTGGACCAATTTGGCCAATTCTTTTTTTTAAATGTTCGTTGAAGTTCAAAGATGGTTTTTAAGGCGTGAAAAATTCGAATAATGGAAACCCTCTAGGAACCTTTCTTTAATCACGCGACAGCTAGTTTACAATATAAAGGGACATTTCAAAAAATTATTTATGATTACACGTCAAACTTATATAACAACTAGTTGTCGACCGCGATTCCGTCTGCGTGAGATTAAAAAATTATTCTAACCGATTTTCAGACCTACTGAATATGCATATAAAATCGTATAAAAATCTGTCTAGCTGTACAAGAGGAATATGGTAACTAACATGGTGACACGAGAATTTTGTAAGTTAAGACTAGGATTTTATCCTAATTTCAGATTGAATAGAGAATAAAATAAAACTGGATATCCATAAATAATTTATATTTTAAATACTTTTCCTAATAAAGATTATATTTGTCTAACAGACAGACCATTAATTGGGTATTTCCTTACCTTTTTTATCTGCCTGTCAAACATTGGTCTGTAGTTGACGTGTGCAGATTTTTTTCCATTATCCATCAGATTATGAGCCGATATCTTTTTCAATCCTTTCTCGTTAAAGATATAAAAGTTAATTGGATTAATTTGATCCGTTTCTTTAGGTATTTTTAAAATTATTTGATCATTACCAAATATTTGCTTGCAAAACGTTAGGAGTAAAAGAATCGACATTTTGTTTGCAATAGTAATTGTTTTTTTTATGCCTTTTATATCAAATATATGAAATATTTTGTGGTTTGCCATTTTATTTAAATATAAAATAAAATAACTTTAAATCAAACTCAATATTTACACAAAGGAAATGTTCCGTTTACTCCTGCAAATTTTGAATAGCAATTCTTTCCATTAGTATTTTTGATCCTAACTAATCTACGACAGATAACCTATATTAAATGTTACATACAAGTCTAATCCAGAGTCGATTTCCCAAACCTTTTGTATTTTAAATGAAAAGATTAAGAAAAATTACCCTAAATCAAAGCATCCAGAGGAATTTTATAGCTTTACCTTTGTGCTTCAATATAGCTTTAATTTTCGTTTCGGAACAGTTCAAAATTAAATGCGTATGAATCGACGCCATTTTGTGACGTATTTCTTGAATTTATATAAACAAGTAGAGTTAACAAAAAAGAAATATTTAACATTATTTTTATCTTAATATCCTTCAATAAATAAAATACTAGTAATTTTTTATTTAAATTTGAAATACTATTCTAACGGTATATTGTTATTGGAAAATCTTACCACTAATATTAAAATGTCAATGTTAGGATGGATGTATGTTAGAAGATATTTTCAGAACGGTTGTATGGATCCCGTTGAAATTTTGCATAAATGTAGGCCATAGTCTGGAAGAACACATAGTCTACTAATTAAGTTTAATTTTAATAACGCGCGGACGGAGTCGCAGTCGTCAGCTAATATTAGAATAAATTTCTTATAGTGTCCAAATTTCTTGCTAAAATTTCATCTAAATCTATCCAGTGGTTAAGGAATGGATGGACAAACAAACATTAATTTTATTTATACAAATAATTTTATTTAAAGTTAAATAGCTTTCTGTTTCTTATTTATTCGAGATGGTGGTTTTCTTATAGTTTTTATAACTTCCCTTATTCTGTCTTTTTCTGGTATTGGTTCGGCAAAATCATATTTTTCTACCAAAGTTGGTGATACTTCGTAATTATATGGTGTAGTTTGTTTACGTTTCTTTTTAGATTTTATTATACGTGAGGATAATTCTTTACTGTTACCTTCATTTGGTTCTTTCTCTTGTATATCATCGTCTTCACCATCAACCCATAAATAACTTGTAATAGCTTTAACTACGTCGGATTCTTTGCTAAATTTTACTTTATCTTTTGTACCCTCAAAGTTACTTTTGATTCTTTTATCTTTTGCCTCTTTTATCTTTTCATCTTTTTCGGAATCATTGTTATCGTAATTCGTATTTAGTTTAATTTTTTCATAAATAACATCTGATGTGTTTGTTTTCTTATGAGTTTCTTTTGCTTTATTACTTAACTGTGGTGTTACGTGTTCTTTTCTTGTTTTTTTAATAAATCTAAATTTTCTTGTAGTTGTTGTTTTGGTTTTATCACGTTCAGTTATTTTGTTTTTTTCTTTTCTCTCATGTTTAATATCTTGAGTATTTTTCTCAGTAGAATCGAGTTTAGGTTGTAAAATTACGAATATCTCGTTACCTTTTACTTGTCTATTTCTAACACTGTTTTTTATTGTATAGCGAGGTCTTTTTAATTCATTTGGATTAAGTGTTGGCTTATTTTCTGGTTGTTTTCTTTTCAGAAGTATTTCTTTTACTTCATTATTGAAATTTTTAGCGTAATTTTTACCTTTCCAACGCTTATTTTGCAATTGTTCACTTTCCATTGATGTTTCCGTTGATTTTTTGATATTATCATATCTGTTATATTTAATGTTTGATTTTTTGTGATATTGTAGTTTCTTTTCTGTGTTACGAATGTTACCTTTTTGTGTATTAGATGTACGGTCAATGTTAAATTTGTTTCTTAAAAATTTCGTCACTAAATCATCAATAACTCTTTCTTTTATATGTTTTCCTAGTTGTTCTATGACATATCTATTAGCTTCTTCTATGATTTCTTCTTCGCTTTCTTCAGTTTCAGAGTTGCCAGTTTTAAATGATCTTCTTAAATTAATTGATTTGTAATCATCGAGATAATCGCTTTTGTCACTGGATACATCTTTTATACTCTGTTCGTTTGTAATCGATATTACCTTGCTTAGTATTTCTGCTACATTACCTTGGATTATTTTCTTCGCCATAACTCTAAAGTCACCTAAATTTGCTGTCAGTAGAATATAACTATTTATACATTTTGTTATAATAAAGATGCCGTCTGAAAATAAGAGATGAGAATAAGTTTCTATGCGAAATAAACTTCTATATATATGTATACGATTACTAAATACTATCTCTGTCAGACTAATATCTTAATGTTTGGTAAACATTTTTTTCTTTTTTTCTCTAAAGCATCTTAAGTATTATCAACTTCATAATTCAAACTCAAAAGTAAAACGATTTTTTAAATAGCCAACTATTTATTTACGCATTTAAATTTTGATATTATAATATAATATGGGTTTTACGTCTCATACGATACCTTAGGAGGTAGGGACTTCAAAGACAATATGTTTTTACGTTAAATTGTAAAACAAAATATTGTAAAATATAAAAAACTTACATATTAATGTTGGTGTAGATAATAAAATCATCTCTTATTTTCTTTTATTTATTGTTTTGATTATCATTTAGTAATTGCATAATGTTGTTCCACCGTCTATTTACTAAATACAAGAAAAAAAAACTAATTAAATATTATTAATTTTTTAATTACTTGACGAGGACGAAATTAGACAAACAGCTGAAGTGGATGATGACTTACAATAGAAGAGAGTGGCAAGCTTAAGTAGAAGTCTGCGGTAATATAATCACTAATCTGATGGGAATGACTAATATTATTTAATTACTAGCTGTCGCCCGCGACTCCGTCCGCGAGGATATATAAAAAAACTTAATTAGTGTAGCCTATGTGTTCTTTCAAACTATGTTCTATACGTATGCCAACTTTAATCGAGATCCGTTCAGCCGTTCTAGAGATATCTTCAAACACCCATCCATCCATCCAAATCACATCCATCTAAACATTCGCATTTATAATATTATTAAGTTAAATACAAAAGCAGCTCTTCAAGGCATAAATTCGAAAAAAATGAATAAACAGTATCCTATGTCCGTCTCCTGGCTCTAAGCTACCTCCTCAACAATTTTCAGGCATATCGGTAAGGCCATTCTTGAGTTATAAATAGTGTAACTAACACCACTTTCTTTTATATATATAGATTTATTTAACCTCTATAGACAGTTTAAAGTTTGTAAAATTACATAGAAATACTGTGATGTACATGTGAGCTTAACTCTAACAGAGTTCATGAGACAGAGATAATGTACAGTGGGTAGTATTATTATGTTATGTTTATGTTATTATTATACTTGTATGATTTATTTCAAGTTATAATGTACGCTTAAATCGCTAAATACAGATAAAAAATTAATAAAATAATTATTAATTTCAAAATTGTTTTGCTAACTGTACTTTTAATTTATGAGATAAGAGGCTCCTCGCAATATGTCGTAATATACGTTGTAAACTCAAATCTATGTATTAATTTAAAATTATATTTCTTACCTTTTGTATTTTTAGCATCATTTATGTTTAAATAAAACAAGATTAATTCAAAAAAATAATTATATACAATTAAAATTTAAAATATATATTTTTTTAAATTTCGATTATTCCTGAAGTGAAAACAAAAAGCCATGCAGTAGTCATTTCTTTGTTTTTTCAACGCAATGGATTTTAATCGAAATTATGTTATTGAATTTCGTTTTATGATTTAAACAATATAAGTTTTATTACTGCGACAAGCTTATCCAGGCCAGTTAGAGGCGTTCGTCGGTTAGTTCTGTCAGAAAATATATAAAACCTACATGGGCATTGAATGCCATATAATAAAAAAAACAATACAGTTAAAATTTAACAGTGGTAGAACCCGCTTTAACATCTTCGCACGAATCGGCCCGGCTCGCCCGGTGAAATACCACGACCACACAGAAGACAGGCGTAAAGTGGAAGCAATTCCGCGTTTCGTTTGATGAGTGTACGCCCCGGAGGCCTAATTTAGTCTTCTCTCCCTTCCCACCTTTTTTCTTATAAGGATAGGATGGGAAGTGAAAGTGGACTTTCCGGATGCGAGGATGCATGGAAAGGGAAGATATTTTCTTTTTGTGCATCCTCTCCTCCGACGATTAAAGGTAGGCAACGCATGCAATTGCGTATGTCTATGGGTAATCACTTCGCTATTTCAGCGATTTCAGGTAGACGCTCGCTCGTTTGCCACCTTATGATATAAGAAAAAACCATCGAAAATCGAAATAATTTTTAATAGATTTTACTCAAACCATATCTAGTGAATTGTCAAACCAATCTATCTTAGACACACGATTTTTTTAAATTAAATATAAGCAGATTTTTTTGTAAATTTACTAATATTTCTTTTACCATTCCAACTAAGCTCTATGCTCGTGCTAGGATATGATTTACGACAATAGTCGGATGACGGGATTCGAACGCCCGACCTCGTGATCGGAAATCCGTACCCTTAACCATTAGGCTATTGACGCTTAACATAACTATGCTTTTTATCACTATTTTTTTTTTAATTGTTTTTTTTTTTGGAAATTATATTTAAGTACGAATTACTAATAAAATGATGAAATATGAATAATATTTTTCGATCTTACCGATAGAAAAAGTTAAGTTTATGTTCGATCGATAATACACGAATAAAATGACAAAACACGAATAAAATGACATTTTCTAAAAATGATTCCTAGCTAGATCGATTTATCGCCCACGAAACCTCCTATATACTAAATTTTATGAAAATCGTTGGAGCCGATTCCGAGATTTCAATTATATATATATACAAGAATTGCTCATTTAAAGATATAAGATTGGGGGGCGTTAGTGAGCTATCAAAATCTAATTTGACTTATGTGTTCCTGGTAGACAAATAAAAAGATAAGATAATATGAGATCATTTATTTATAACTTAATATGACTTAAGTTGTACTTAGTCCAAAACATATTATATATGCTTTAAATTATCAAATGCCATTTCGTTAAACATGTCTCTATCTCTCTTCTGTTTTACGTCGTCCTTTTTAATCTTCTTTGTGGTTAATTCGATTTAGTATTGTTAACACTTCTTGCCACTCTGATGTTCTCAGGATAAAGTTCTGTGAATAATAAAATTAAATTCATAGGCGTCAGTTGTCAGCCAATAATATCTACAACGGGTACTTTCATGTTGAACGCAGTAAAAGCTTCCTTAATCAAGCTTCAAACTGTCCAAAAGTTTTCACTTATAGGACTTGAATGGATTCAAGTAATCATAAAAAAACAGTGCCATCTATTGACACAGATTAAACATTACAATTGAATGAAAACGCCATCTATCGGTAGAAAACTTTATGTTTATTGCTAGATGTCAGTCGCCGTTTGCGCGGAATTAAAAAACAAGTTAATAGTCTATGTGTTATTCCAGACTATGTTCTACATCTATGACAAATTTCAGCGAAATCTATGCAGCCGTTCTGGAGATACCTTCTAATATACATCTAAACCAGCCTTTCCGAAAGTGGGGGATATCGCCCCCTTGTGGGCGCTGCAGGTCTCAAGTTGCGGGTTATAGTAAAAGTTTCGTTTAGAATTCTCCGTTAATATACATATATAGGTCACAATAATTAATTTAATTTAATTTGAAGTTATAGTGGTTTTTAAATATGTGAAAATATGGGGGGCGCTAAAAAAATATTTATTCTCAAAGTGGACAGTAGAGTAGAGAAAATAAGTTTGAGAGCCACTGGTCTACACATTCGCATTTATAATGTTAGATTACCATATGCCAGCTCCCTGCCAAGACGTGGAGAAAAGTGTACTGTGCGTCCCAATCTCGGTGAGAAATATTCAGATCTGATATCAACTCGATCACGACCAGAACTGTTAAAAATAAAGCAATAAGACATTAAAATGAACAGATAAAAGGCAATAAACCAAAATCAACATAACTAGACTGTTTAGTTGGCCTCTCTCCCCGAATGGGAGCATACCCACTAAACCCCTCTGTTCCCTCATACCCATAATGTGGGACGCCACGGGATCGTGTTAACTAACCACCGCGACGCCCCACTGACCAGCCCGAGAATAGGGCTCCTCAATGCGCCCCCAATGAGTAGGTGGTCCTCAAAGACGACACCGTGCAATGCAGGTTCGGGATTCCCCGCCCTCCTGTTTAGTTGGCCTAGCACACAGATGGAAGGCGTGGAATGTAAGAAATTCCACTAGTCGTCTGATAAATGTGGTACCGGAGACCTAAATTAGTCCCTTGTCCCTTCCCTCACTTCTTATAAGTAAAGAATGGGTAGTAGAAGTGAATTTTCCGGATGAAATGCATGGGAAGGGAAAATATTCTCTTTCTGTGTCGCTCCTCCGTTGATTAAAGGTAGGCAACGCATCTGCAATTGCGTATGACTACGGGTTTAGCGCTTTGCTATTAAAAAAAAACATTACAATTTACGCAGAACTAGCTGTCGCCCGCGACTCCGTCCGCGCGGAATTAAAAAAACTATTGGTCGCAGCGTAATGTTATATAGCCTAAAGCCTTCCTCTATAAATGGACTATCCAACAAAAAAATAATTTTTCAAATCGGACCAGTAGTTCCTGAGATTAGCGCGTTTAAACAAACAAACTCTTCCGCTTTATAATATTAGTAAAGATTTAACACTACCGGGCATAAAGTACACTAAAATTGTCATACTAATTTTGACAATCGTCACATATTCTCTAAGCTAACTGTACTTTTCTTTGTTTCAAATTGTTTGTTTAATTTTCTTTCCAATATACAACTTACTACCTACTAGCCACTACATGCTACCGACGAGTCCTAGGATACTTTGGACATATTGCCCGGAGAAACCCCGACAATTTAGACAAATTGGTTGTGGTCGGAAAGATAGAGGGTAAAAGGTCACGGGGTCGATCACCTACTCGCTGGTCCGACCAAGTGCAGGCTATATTGGGACTTAATATCACGACTGCCCTGAGACAAGCCGAAGACAGGACGGCGTGGAGGCAGCTGGTCGACACGGCCGTTGAAGCGTACCAGGACAAGCACGACCTTCAGTAATGAAGAATACGAAGAAGAAGAAGAATACAACTTACATTTCTTGTTCAGGTGTCGTTGCAGAATCAGGAACTCGTCTACCAAGTCGTGGAGTGAACTCTACATTTTCGTAACCCCTTTTCTCTTCGTTCCTTTCCAAACTACGACCCAATTTAGGTGTGAAAATAACTTTCTTGATAACTAAAAGAAGTAATTTATTTTAACTATAATTTAATAAAGCGTCGGTGGCTCAGTGGTTAAGCACTTGACTTGCAATCTGCAGGTCCTGAGTTCGAATCCCGCCATGTACCAATGTGTTTTTCGATTTCCGATTCACATATGTACATTTATCCGACGTTCTTACGGTGAAGGAAAACATCGTGATGCAACCTGTGCACATATCTGAGAAGAAATTCAAAGATATGTGTGAAGTCAACCAACCCGCAGTTGGCCAGCGTGGTTGACTATGGCCTAATCACCCTTAACTTAGGGTACGATCCGAGCCCCTCGGTGGGGACGTATAGTAAGCTGACGATGATGACAAAATTACCTTTCTGCGGCTCGTCCACTTGAGATTCGTAAAACGGTAACTGATCGTAATAATACTTCAAGGTATCCGCTGCTTCCAATAATCGGAGGAACTTTTGGCTGGAATTTTTTAATATTTAAAAAACAATACTCACGTTCAAATATTTTGACGGAAAACTGACGATAGCAAACGAAACACAAGATGGTCAAACATCAAAATTATTAAACACTTTAAATAAGAAAAGCGCAAAATATAGACGAAGTAACTGTCGTCCGCGACTTCGTCCGCAAAGAATTGAAAACTTAAATAGTAGTCTATGTGTTCTTCCAGACTATGTTCTACATCTATGACAAATTTCAACAAGATCCGTTGAGGCGTTCTGGAGATATCTTCTAACAGACATACATCTAAACATTTGCATTTATATTATTTGTAAGAAGTAAGACGGGGAAGTCCTTATACCTAATACGATTTAATTTTTTGCTACCTTTAGCTTACACTGTAATATTTGACATGTACTAAAAATAGCCGGAATTTCACTCGAGTTAGAAAGTCGTAATAATGAGTCTTTTAACGCCATTGTTTTCTGTTTTCACAATTTTCACGAGCGTCGGTGAATCAGTTAAAGCACTTGTAATCTGCAGGTCCTGGGTTGGAATCCCGTCATGTACCAATGTGTTTTTTGATTTTCGATTTACACATGTACATTTATCCGACGTTCTTACAGTGAAGGAAAACATCGTGATGCTGCACATATCTAAGAAAGTCAAAGGTATATGTGAAGTCAACCCGCACTTGACCAGCGTGGTTGACTATGACCTTATTACCACTTAGGGTAGGCTCCGAGCCCCTCAATGGGGACGTATTCTTTCACAGTTGTTAAAGATAAGAAGGGGTTATAGAGTTACTTACCTGTTGTCTTCAGATGATAGAGCAAGCGATCTTTTACCAAGTCGAGGTCCAAACCATAGACCATTTCTATCGCTATGTGCACCTCTATCCAATGTTTCTTCCTGTAAAGAGAAATGTTAATTTTAAATTTCAAATAAACACCTTGACAAAAAACGTCAAATATCATGGCCGACTTTCGGGGTTAGAAAATAGTTTCGCTACAAAGCGAGTTAATAATTAAATTAGTATTAAATACTAGCTGTTGACCGCGAATCCGTTCGCGCGGAATTAAAAAAAACTAATTATTAGCCTATGTGTTCTTCCAGACTATGTTCTATATGTATGACAAATTTCAGCGAGATTCATTTAGCCGTTCTGGAGATAACTTCAAACAAATTTTTATTACAAGACCGATATCGAACTTCAAAAATGTATGGAACTGACGCGCAACAATCATGTGACTAACAGAAAGTTATTTTCAGTTTTATACGTATTATAATACTTTCTCAAATTTTCATCCCCTATTATTATTTTGCACCCTTGAGAGTAACATTTAACAAACATAGAATGTCATATTTATTTATATCAAACTGGCTGACGCCCGCGACTCCGTACGCGTGTATATATAAAAAAAACTTAATTAGTGTAGCCTATGTGTTCTTTCAGACTATGTTCTATACGTATGCCAAATTTAATCGAGATCCGTTCAGCCGTTTTAGAGATATCTTCAAACACCCATCCATCCATCCACATCACATCCATCTAAACATTCGCATTTATAATATTAGTAAGTTAAATAATAAGCAACTCTTCAAGGCATAAATTCGAAAAAAATGAATAAATAGTATCCTTTGTCCGTCTCCTGGCTCTAAGCTACCTCCTCACCAATTTTCAGTCATATCGGTAAAGACGTTATTGAGTTATAAATAGTGTAACTAACTCGACTTTCTTTTATATACATATGATTAACAGCCTAAAAAATAAGTTTTGAGCTTCTATCTGCCAAAATATTTCTATACAAATTTCCAACCCCCTTTTCACCCCCTTCCAACCTATTTTTCGCGTTAAAAAGTAGCCTATGTCCTACCCCAGGTTCCAGACTATCTATGTACCAAATTTCATTTAAATCTGTTCAGTAGTTTTTGCGTGAAAGCGAGACATAGAGACAGACATAGAGTTACTTTAGCATTTATAATATTACCAGCGGACCCGACAGACGTTGTCCTGTCTACAAGTCTTTAATTTGAATAAATTAATATGAAGTTAATATTTGATGAAAATTGTGTATCTAAACCATTCCCAAATCCCCTTGAACACACACAAAAAATTTCATCAAAATCGCTCCAGTCGTTTGAGAGAAGTTCAGTGACATACACACTCACAGAAGAATTATATATATAAGACTAGCGGACCCGACAGACGTTGACAATTTGACACTGCGATGGTAGCGCCGTCTGTCGGATCCAATGTAAAACATTCCAAAATCAACAACTACTAATAAATTAAAAAAATAATTAAAAAAACATTGTCCAGCGGACAAAATTGTGAATCTAAACCATTCCCAGATCCCCTTGAACACACACAAAAATTTCATCAAAATCGCTCCAGTCGTTTGAGAGAAGTTCAGTGACATGCACACTCACAGAAGAATTATATATAAAGACTAGCGGACCCGACAGACGTTGACAATTTGACAATGCGATGGTAGCGCCGTCTGTCGGATCCAATGTAAAACATTCCAAAATCAACAACTACTAATAAATTAAAAATTAATTAAAAAAACATTGTCCAGCGGAGAAAATTGTGAATCTAAACCATTCCCAGATCCCCTTGAACACACACAAAAATGTCATCAAAATCGCTCGAGTCGTTTGAGAGAAGTTCAGTGACATACACACTCACAGAAGAATTATATATATAAAGATTATAAAGGATTGAACACTACAGGAAAAGTGTGATGACGTAACGTATCAAAAACTTAATTTTAATATGACTAAACGAAAACTAAATATGATTTAAATAAACTATGACATTAAAATAAATGTGTCACCGAATTTCCCCATTCGTTTATATTGAAAACTATTACGTATTGTTTTCAATATAAACAAAACTGCATTAATATTTTTCGATACATTACATATATGAAAACGTCGCTGGCTCAGGGGTTTAAGCACTTGACTTGTAATGCAGGTCCTGGGTTCGAATCCTGCTATCTATCAATGTGTTACAGTGAAGGAAAACATCGTGATGCTGCATATATCTGCGAAGAATCAAACATATGTGTGAAGTTAATCCGCACTTGACCAGCGTGGTTGACTATGACCTAATCACTAACTTAGTGTAGGCTCCGAGCTCCTCAGTGGGGACATGAGCTAAACATAATGATGTTAATATGTAGAAAAAATAATTTGTTTGTTTTTATTGAATAGACTCAAAAACTATTAAACTGATTTGAAAAATACTTTCACTGTTGTGAAGCTTCACTATCTCCAATTGACATAGACTTTATTTATTGCTAGGTTTTTTTTAATTCCGCGCAGACGATGTCGCGGTTTAAAACCAGTACCTGGATGACCGACCTTTGCTCGGTATTTTTTTTTTTTAAATTGTGTTTTTTGGAAATTATATTTAAGTACGAATTAGTAATAAAATGATGAAATATGAATAATATTGTTCGATCTTACCGATAGAAAAAGTTAAGTTTATGTTTAAGTTGATTATCGATAAAACATGAATAAAATGACCTTTTTTTAAAAATAATTCCTAGCTAGATGGATTTATCGCCCCCGAAACCACCTATATACTACATTTTATGAAAATCTTTGGAACCGATTCCGAGATTCCAATGATATATATACAAGAATTGCTCATTTAAAGATATAAGATAACGCCTGCATGAATCTCGTAGAAATTTGTCATAGATGTAGAACATAGTCTGGAAGAACACATATACTACTAATTATATTTATTTTTAATTCCGCGTGGACAAAGTAGCGGGCAACAGCTATATCATGATCATGAGCATCAACTATAAGTCCCCACTGAAGATCTCAGCGTCTACCCTAAGTGAGACTATGTGACAGTGAATGCTAGTCCAGTGCAAGACTTCACACATATCTTTGAATTTCTCAGATACGTGCATCACGATGTTTTCCTTCACCATAACGTCGGATAAATCGAACACATTGGTATAGCGGGATTCGAACACAGGACTTGCATTACAAGTCAAGTGTCAAATCCCTGAGCTATTAACTAAAGTAACTTACCTTTATTTCTTCACACGATATTAACATTAAACTATACAAGATAAAAAGCGTTAAGCAGAGATAAAAATCTTTTACTATCGAAAACATTTTTATTTAAGTTCTTAAGAAAATCCCTTTTACCAATGTCTTGAATGTAACTGAAGAAAATCGGCTCTAGCTACCCTTTTATACTATTCTAAAAGTATGGAGGCGAATTTAATGAAAAGGGGAGATTGGGGTTTTACGTATCGTAACATTTTACTTAAAAAAAATAAATGCAATTGTTTATATGTTTGAAGATATCTCCAGAACAGCTTAACGGATCTTGCTGAAATTTATAATAGATGTAGAACATAGTCTGGTAGAACACATAGACTACTTATTAAGTTTTTTTTTTTCCGCGTGGACGGAAACACGGTTGATAGCTAGTTTAACTATGATTTATCAACACTTAACAATTAATGTAATGATTTAACTCCCAAACATTTATTCTTTTTTAAAGTTATAAATAACTATAAATTTCAGATCTCTTACATGTATAAGAATATTAGTATTTCTATTTCAAAGACTTTGAAAGGTCAAATCAGTTAGGTCGCAGAGTTTAAGTAGCTACCGCCCGCGACTCCGAACGCGCGAAATTAAAAAAAACTTAATTAGTGGCCTACGTGTTCTACATCTATGTCAATCTTCAGCGAGATCCATGAAGCTGTTCTAGGGATACCTTCAAATAAACCCATCTATATCACTCATAATATTAGCAAAATTATTTCCCATTTTAACTCTTCAAAAACAAGGAGGTATGTATTTTTCATCGATAACTCAGCCCCTTAGTTATCTAATTTTCATCATTCTTTATTCTAAAGATTATTTGGTCCTATTTTTTTAAACATTAAAAACTATTCTGTAGTTTTTGAGTTATCCAATATACCATGTTACCCTAACATACTCCTGCCTTTACAAATTAGTAGCAAATTGAAACAAATCGTCTGTAGGTAACGATTTCTGTACACCAGGGTGATCTGTCAACATAGAACTATTAATGGATTTTCCATTTATCTTATTACTAAGACTAATATAATTGTTTTTGCAAATACCAACATGTATATATTGACATTTAACAGTGGTAGAGCCCGCTTTAACATCTTCGCACGAATTGTCCCGGCTCGCCCGATGAAATACCACGACCATACAGAAGACACGCGTGAAGTGGAAGCAATTCCGCGTACAGTCTGATGAGTGTGCGTCCCGGAGGCCTAATTTAGTCCTCTCCCTTCCCACCCTTTTTCTTATAAGGAAAGAATGGGAAGTGTAAGTGAACTTTCCGGTTGAGAGGATGCATATGAAGGGAAAATATTTTCTTTCTGTGCATCCTCTCTTCCGTCGATTAAAGGTAGGCAACGCATATGCAATTGCGTATGTCTATGGGCAACGGTCACTTCTCTATTTCAGCGATTTCAGGTGATCGCTCGCTCGTTTGTCACGTAATGATATTAAAAAAGACAATCTGTTAGGATTCCATAACATATGAATTTTACGAAATTACTAATATTTTCTTACTTCTTACTAATATTATAAACGTGAATGTTTAGATGTATGTTTGTTAGAAGGTATCTCTAGAACGGTTGCATAGATTTCGCGGAAATTTGTCATAGATGTAGAACATAGTCTGGAAGAACACATAGGCTACTTATAAAGTTTTTTTTAATACCGTTCGGACAGAGTCGCTGGCGACAGCTTGTCTTACTAATATTTTAAATGCGAATATTTAGATGGATGTTAACTTGAAGATATCTCCAGAACAAATGAACGGATCTTGATGAAATTTATCATAGATGTATAACACAGTCTGCTAATTAAGTTTATTATAATATCGCGCGGAGTCGCGAGCTAAAGCTAGTTTAAAATCTTTTTAAACTCGTAAATATTTCTGTCAAAACACATTTTTTCTTGCATAATTACAAGTTAAAAAAAAATAGAAAAAAAGTCAAAAATAGTAACGGCTGCCACAAAGCCACGTCTTAGTATACATACATATACTTAGACGTGGCTTTGTTTGTCCTTAAATCGATACAAAGAATAATGGCTGAAAGGAATACACAGTTAAACAAACAACATTCCTATTGTAATGTTTTCCCCCAAAAGAAATTACGTGGTTAGATTCAATTACATTCTTAGTCAAAACAATTTAAGTTGTTTTGTATTTCAATGTATAAACTTTGACTATTTAAATAAAGGATCTGACAAGCCCGCGTATTACTTTAATCGAACGATGAGTTATAAACTTGCTTATCATACATTTATCTATATATAAAAATCAATTGCTGTTCGTTAGTCTCGCTAAAACTCGAGAACTAAACGGATTTCTCATATCTTGGTCTCGAAATGTTCGTGGAGGTATACGGAAGGTTTAAAAGGTGAGAAAAACGCGAATAATTGCGGGTAACTAATTAAGATTTTTTTCATTCCACGCGGACGGAGTCGCGGGCGATAGCTAAATGTAATAGCTATATTGTTGAAGGAGCGTCTGTCGATCAGTTGACATGTAATCTGAAGGTCTTGTATTTTAATTTACATATGTACATTTATCCGACGTTGCGGTGAAGGAAAACATCGCGATGCATATATCTGAGAAAGTCAAACATAAGAGTGAAGTCAACCCGCGCTTGAACAACATTCACTATCACATAGCCTCACTTAGGGTAGACTCTGAGACCCACATATAGTGTAATGATGATTATATCTATGCGTCTATTTAAGATATATTAGTTTGACAACTCTATCCATCCATCTAAACATTCACATTTATAATATAAGTAAGAAGTAAGATATAAAAAAGTTAATGTATGTTAAACAAAAAGAGTTGGATCTTTTAAATATGTTTCCTCGTATAGTTAATGTCCTGGCTGTACATCATAACCAGCTTATCGTTGAACTTTGGGACACGTGTAGTAGGAAATAAGTATTTATGTCTCTCATTTATCCTTAAACTAGCTATCGCCCTCGACTCCGTCCGCGCGATATGTGTGTTCTTCCAGTCACATGGCGGGATTCGAACCCAAGACATGCAGATTACAAGTCAAGTGCATTAACCCCTGAGCCACTGATGCCCTCAGTTCCGAAGATACCTTCAAACAACAATCATAGATTGATGGATGGGTGTTTGAAGATATCTCTAAAACGGCTGAACGGATCTCGATGAAATTTGGCATACGTATAGAACATAGTCTGAAAGAACACATAGGCTACACTAATTAAGTTTTTCATATATCCACGCGGACGGAGTCGCGGGCGACAGATAGTTTTAAATATATATAAAAGAAAGTGGTGTTAGTTACACTATTTATAACTCAAGAACGGCTTTACCGATATGCCTAAAAATTGGTGAGGAGGTAGCTTAGAGCCAGGAGACGGACATAGGGTACATAGTATTCGAATTTATGTCTTGAAGAGTTGCTTTTTATTTAACTTACTAATATTATAAATGTGAATGTTTAGATGGATGTGATGTGGATGGATGGATTGGTGGGCTACACTAATTAAGTTTAATATATCCACACGAATGGAGTCGCGGGCGACTGCTATTTTATAATATTAATGAGGACAAAATTGAAGTTACGAATTAAAATTTGACTCATAAGTAAACCACAATTACCTAAATCAAAATTAAACGTATTATTTTCCCTTATGAAAAGTATAAAACAAATGATAATAAAACATTTGCCACCATTTACAATATACCAGTGCGAAGTTCTCGAAATAATAACCGTATTAAAATTATCATCGTAAAAAAAGAAAAACGAACATAATAGTAATGAAGAAAATAATACTATTTCTATGTTTCACCGCAACTGTTTGTTCAGAACAATACTCAAATGAATTGTCAATTAATATCGCGACATTTTTAAATAAATTCGTTCAATTCAAGTTAAATATAAACAATAGGATAAACATGGAAAACATCGAAGATATGGGTAATAAAGGAAATAACGATTTAAATAATTTCGATGTTAAGAAGAGAGATGCCGAAAATATAATGGACAATTATAAAACTGTGGCAACAGCTCCTAATATATGTGCAAATCATGGTGATAT